CAACATCCTGGTCACTTCACGCTTTCAATCCACAATAAAAAAAATGTCGTATTTTAAACGCTGCCTTCAAAATATATGATTCTCTCTTTATTGGCCTATCTATTTATTTATCTATCTATTTCACCGTGTGATTTTGTTTTTGGTTTCTTTGTGGTTCAGCACACCTTCCCGAGGCAAGGGTGTTAACTGACAACAACAGTCCAGTGTCAACGTAGAAATCGGACTTTTACATTGAGTTAACTCCCTTGCCTCGGGGAGCTGCACTCAGCAATGTTCCAGCTTAAATTATGGCGGCGGTTTGTAAATACTCAAGTTGGACCACACAATCCAGTGATTGATATCGTGGACACCGATCTACGCAATTGGGATACGATGACATGCATCAACCAAATCAGCAAGCCTAACCACCCGATCCCGTTAGTCACCTTTTACGACAAGCATAGTCGCCTTTAACAACAAGCACGGTTTGCAGTGAAATATAGATAAGGGTGTTTGAAATTAGCATAATCTCTCTCTCTCTCTCTCTCTCTCTCTCTCTCTCTCTCTCTCTCTCTCTCTCTCTCTCTCTCCCTCTCTCTCTCTCTCTCTCTCTCTCTCTCGCACACACATGCACACACACTCACTCTTTATCTCTCTCGTACATTATTTGACCAAGAATTATATCCCACTCGAATGTGGTACAATAACCACGATGCAATATTTCAGCGTATTATTACACAGATTAACTCCTATTGATCGTGGCTGGCTCTAAGGAATCTCAAAACAAAGACTGGGTGTGAAGAAACTGATAACACGGTGACAATCGATACCACTCTCGCGAAATGATAGAAAAAACACACGTCATTTCCACGTTGATTTCTGTAATCCACCCCACAGCTACAGGCAACCGGATTGTATTACGACAGACCTACTCTGGGCGAAGCGATCCGGCTCACAAGCCCAGAACGATTATAATTTCACTAACCTTTAATCGCAATCGGCTAATAATTATACGTATTTGTCAATCATAGCATAGCGTTCAGCCCTTTTTTATTAAAGGGTTTACGAGTCACAAAGCCGACAAAGTAGGGATTTACCTTTTTCAAAAGATTAAGGTGTCATAGAAATCTTACAGATAACCTTGGACCTCAAGAATTTGCATCTGAACATTCCGCTATCCCCGATAGCTGATTTAGCAAAACACGAGTGAAGGCCGCAGCTGCATAAGTGAGGGGGAGATTCTGTCCATTCAGCATATATATCCAGCTGGGCCTGAAACACTCAGAGCGTACAGACCGATATACCAATATAAGCTTTGAATAAAGTACAGCGGGGGATAAACGGAACAATGTATCTAAACTTGTAACGAACGTAAATATTCTCAGATTGTAAGCGTTTCAAATACGGCGTATTTTTCAGCACAGTAAATCCATGACCTTGCATAAACTCTGTGATAAGTCCGTAGATCGTTTAGGTGACTCTACTTGAGTGAGGTGAGGTGAGGTGGGTTGAAATTAGGTTTAAAGTCGCGTTAAAGATTATCGCACCAATATAGGTAATATAGATACGTGCATGCTCGTGTGTGTGTTGGGTTGTTTTTTGTGTGTGTTTTTTTTCTTCTTCTTTTTTTTTTTTTTTTGGGGGGGGGGGGCACTAAAGTACTAACCTACTGAGATACCAATATGGTACTTGTTGTCACCCTGCCTGGTACACGGCATTAAGAGAATACAAGGACTCGGCTCTAATACAAGCACACGCACGCACGCACGCACACACCACCATCACCACCCTCTCTACCATACACCTTGAAACTGGAAGGAGTATCGCTTAGAGTGAATCATGTTTAGAGAGCACTGTTATATAGACTACTCTTACCATTTAAGTAACAAATATGACATTTCCAGAACCCTGAAATATTATTGATGCGCTGGAGCATAGTTTACACTTGACTTTGAATACACCCCAGATCCTTCTACCTCACTTAAAGCTGGGAAAACGAAACTGACAGACTGGTTACAGTAATCCTATTGACACAGACCAGACATGTATATGTTTGTTTTAACGTATATAACATTTACATTGACTTAAAGTCAAACTATCTGAAGTGTGATTACAAGCTGTTCACGGGGTAATAGAAGAGAACAAACTCCCGGCATGTTTATTTTCTGTGTAATGCATAACGTTTTAACAGAGATTGTTTGGTTTTCCTGTAATATATGCGATGAGAGAAGGAAAAGCGTAGATAAACATGGCACAGTGAACCAGTTCGTGTGCCACCGGATTGAAAAATCCGTTTTCAACTAAAGGGAAGTAACTATTGAAATTGGATTAAGGTAGTCTAAAATACATAAACTAGAGTTAGATATTTCAGGTTCGAGTCATGATTGCAATGACTACTTTTTTAAAAACTGTTTTCTAAACATACATATATATATATAAACATTTTTTTATTAAACATAATGCACAAAGTGAAAACAAATGCAAGTAGAATGCACTTGTTAACGAAACATATTACGCGAGTTCATGAACTGCATAGGACGTATACACGGAACTACAGGATGTTAGAGTTCATATTTGTTTGTTTGTTATTTAACGCCGCACTCAGCAGTATTCCAGTTATATGACGGCGGTCTGTAAATAATCGAGTCTGGACCGGACATTCCACTGATTAACACCATGAGCATCGATCCACGCAATTGGGACATGATGACATGCATCAACCAAATCAGCGCGCCTGACCACCCGATCCCGTTAGTCGCCTCTTACGACAGGCATAGTCGCCTTTTACTGCAAGCACGGGTTGCTGAAGACCTATTCTACCCCGGATATGCACGTGTCTCAATGTTCATAAGTCATGCTACGACACCTGATATAACGCAGGTTTATGCATTTGTAAATTACAAAAGTTTAATCTTCGATAATTGCAATTTTCATTTTCAAACCTGATGTCTCTCTCCTGCCGTTATGACCCAGAGCAATAATGGATCCATGTTACAATGACATGCATGGAAGAGTTGTCTCCCTTTATTATCACCACATCCAGATCTGCTTACATCTGTTTTCTTGATGATAAAACAGGTCCTATTACATGTGATATATAGACAAATCTACAAATCAATGTTAGTTATCAGTCACAATCGATGATTTTCTAAATGATGAATTCAAACCTATTTACAGCACATCCAGACGCCTTATAATCCCATCTCCATCTTCACCCAAAGAACTATGTTCTATTTTCAGTTGTCATTTTCCAGCCTAGGACTATTTTCATTGTGTTGAAATGTGAGTTTGTATTAAAGCTGCGCATGCGTTTTAACTTCGGACAGGCAGGGAGTATCACACCGTTACGTAATCAAACAGCCCTGTGAAGATCCGGGATAGAATTGATCTTACTGGTTGGAACCCGTGCTTGTCGTGAGAGGCGAATAACGGGATCGGGTGTCAGACTCGCTGACTTGGATGATGCGTATCATCGTATCCCAGTTGCATGGATCGATGCTGATGATGTCAATCACTTGATTGTCTGGACCAAACTCTATTCTTTACAGACTGACTTTACTTTACTTTACTTTACTGATTACGGCGTTAAACAACAAACAAACAAAACAAATAAATATATAACAAGTCAAATAGATTAAACATAAACGTAAATACAGTAACAACCCACACCATACGGAGTTACGAGGGACTGATAGACAAAACTACATATATATTTGATAAAAATGTACATGCATATGTATACATGATAAATTAAAAGAAAACTAGTAACAAACAGTGAACGTTTTATAAAGCCCATGATGTGTTACATCAGAACGTAAATACCATGTCAGGTCTTGACAGCTGTCACAATCTTAACTGGATAGTGTAAAATCTACTTTCTTGGTATCAATAAAAAAAATATGAATCATAACATATGAAACTACATCGAGAAGGAGGTAAAACATGTACTTTTCAGTTTGTGGACGATGTAAAAAAACGTGTCTTTCGTCTTGTAATTACACATTTACAGAACGTCACATCGGCAATGTTTCAGTTATGACTTTACGAACAACCTTTCCCTCCCCACCGAACTTCGGTAATAGGTGAGGTGAAATGGGGTTTAACGTCGCGTCCAAGATTATTGCACTTATATAGCGACGTGCATGCACGTGTGTGTGTGTCTGTGTGTGGCTGCTTGTACTAGTCCGGACTGATGCCGATTTATAGTGCTAGCTCACTGAGATACCATACCGCAGTTTAACATGAATACCCCACTCAGGCACAGTATACTGACTCCGAGCCGACCAGTCCTTGTTTTAGCCCCTTAATGCCGAGCGCCAGACAGGGTAACAACAAGTACCATCTTTTAACGTCTTTGGTCGGGGATCGAACCCCGGACCTTCCGCTCTCCGGGCGGACGCTATACCACTAGACCAAGGAGGCGGTCTTGAACTTCGGTAATAACATGTGTAAGTCAAAAGTAGATCGATGTGGGAATGAAAGTAACTCTTTAAAAACATTTTACCCTACAAGTCACAATTCGATTCCACGGGGAAGTAAATTATGTTATATTATTATTTTTTTATCAAAGTTTCGTGAATTCTACTGACAATTCAGAAGGACTTTAAATGACACGAAATCTTCATTCCGATTTTCCAAGGGTACGTATTCATTACTACATAGAACCTGTACATAGTTATGTTCTTTCGTAAACAATGTCGTCAAACATTAAAAAATTATGGAGACTATTCTATCAATTTTGCATGATAATGTTAAAATTATGTGATATTTGTATCGAAAACATAAATCTGTGTATGAATAAAGCACATTTGAAATAGTTATCTACAAACAAGCAATTTAGTGAAATATGGCGCATTTCCTGCCGTCATTGAGGCCATGAATTGTTTGAGGAACTCATGTATCCATGTTCTCCAGTTTCTAAATGCGCGTCAAAGACGTGTGATTATTGCCTGTGCTTGTTCCGTAAAAGAAAACGGTCATATCATAACATTAACCAAGGGCACTTAACTCCGTAGCAACAATTTTGTTTCAAAATGGCGTCTAATGTTGAATATTACGAAAAGCAGAAAGAATTACAAGATAAAATAAATAAGAGGTACACATTTCTTTATGATTTTTTCAGATATAGAGTGTAGACGTATTTCAAACAATATGCAAACATAATATCACGTCGACAGTCTTTAATTGTTCGAATAGGATATAAGATACGTGATTTGCAGGTGCTTGAGAGTTGAGTCCCAATCAGCCGATTGTCGAATAGATTTGTGTCGTCTTACAGACAGGTGCAGGGTTTCAGATTTGTTAGTTTTCTAGACCATTGACTGATTGTCCCCCAAAATGCCTGAAGATAATTTACGGATTTGGTAATGACATAGAAGAATAAATGTTATAGAAAATGATGAAAATTGTTCTCAGTCCTAATCCCATTTGTCTCCAGCACAGTCCCAGATATATTGACATTTCTGCATTAAGACTTCCTGTTGCCCTACTCGCCGACATGCTTCAATTTAAAGTTTTATTTCGTACACCAACTGATTTGTTATCCTGATTTGTCAGCACTCCATGACGTATTTGGTAGACTTCTGGGTTTCATATATGACACACATGCTTCAACATGTTCAATCAACCAGTGATCAACATGACGAATACAAGATATGGTCACATATTTGTCGTGCATGTAATTTTATGCATCATTTTTACCATCATAATATTTATTGTAATTTTGTAATTCATATCTGAATAACGCTGTTGGAATTCTGAGTCAGAATAGGTCCCATTCAACCTATGCAGGTCATAAGGCTGAGTTGATTGGCTGGTCAGATTTGGTGACTTGGTTGATAGTGTGTCATCTACTCCAATCGAGTGGATCGCTGTTCACAATGTTCATCACTGAATTGCCTGGTTCAATTTCGATTATTACAGGCTGCCGTCATATGGGTGGAATATTGCTGAGGGCAGCATTAATCAACAAACAAACATATCTAAGTAATATTAATAACGAAAGAGTATGTTCATGTAAGTTCATTACGGATATCAATACCATCTGTGTTATTAAGGCTGATAAATCATAGCTGTGTACTGCTCCACTTTTACTACATCTGCCTGTCACTTATACATTGCTATGATTCACTTACAATTACATTCGAATAGAGTCCAGTGTTGATTTTTCACCGGCCTTCACAACCTTTGTCAGAGGGCATGTTACAGAATATTGTCGAATTGATAATACCTCCTAGCTACAAAATGTTTATCTTTAAGTACACCACATATTTTGATTGAAAATATATTTTGCCTAAAGTTAGGATCCAGTCAGCATGAAACGGTCAAGTTAAGTGCCACAGCGGCTGTTGTAAACAACCCCGATGTGTATCCAGATGCATAACTGAATAGGAATCATATTTTGTTTTCAGTGAGCAAGAGAGGCTCAGGTTGGACCAACAGTTGAAAGCATATTTTCAGTCTGACCAGAGATTGTGAGTACTGGCATGAAGATGTATTAGTATACATGATATGAGACTTTTGATTACTTGGCATGCAAAAGCAGACATTCTTTGTAAACATGGTAAACCCAAAATAATTTTGCTGGAAATGTCCACATTATTTGTTTGCATGGTTGGTAATTTTGAACCAAATCATATATTGACAGAGAAAGGGGATTATTCAAACCATATACATGATATAAGCTGCTTGAGTATTTTTTAGTTATGAAAGTCCCTCTTGTGCATGTTGTGGTCAATTCATCCAAAACCATTTTTCCATAAATATTTGTTATGGGGAGTTCCCTGAGCATGCTGAGTTCGTGTGTTTGTAAACACTGTGATCAATGGATTGTTGGGTCCAGATTCAAGAATGGATAGGCCTCCATCATTGCTGGAATATTGATATGCAATGATGAGAGCAGCATTAAATATGAAAAAAACCTAAAACAACAACCCTGTTTTCTTGAGGATCTTTTGGTTCAAAATTTGAAAGAAAAAGAGGTCAGCTTTTGCCTGTAGTGTTTCACATATCATGGCTTGTGTTTCAATAGAGGCAAGCTGAAGGCTGTACGGCTACATAACTATTGGAAGAAGATTTGTGAGGATGAACGTCGTAGCAAGCAGAGGAATGAACAGATCCGCCGAGAGTTTGAGAGGATCGATACACACATGGCATCCCTTGGCTCCCGGACAGAGAAGCTCAGAATATTAAAGGTTCACAAGTTATCAAGTCAAATAATAAATTCAGAACTAATTCATAATAATTATACCTACTTTTATATATTCAAATTTTGTTGACACCGTTTTCATTATTTTCACCAGAACTATTACTGTATTCGACGTAATAAGTGCCCCGCTCTAATAAGCGCCCACAGCGATATTTGCTAATATATTGGCTAGTGAACAATCCCAGTTAGCGCCCCTTCCAAATGATCAATGTACACAAGACTTATTTATTCGTGTAAAATACGTGTGTTATATGCATTCTTGATTATGGGAAATTAAATTCTGGAAAAATATATCTGTCGTATATAAACATTTCAGGCTGTCAGCATAAACCACGAAATTTACGATCTTTCAACTCTGTTCTTTTTCACCAAAATAATGTTCTAATAAGAGCCCCCTATTTCTAATTTTGAGAGCGCCCTGGGCGCTTATTATGTCGAATACGGTACTATTTATCTACTATGTCTGGTATACCATGAAGCTTTAGTGAAGCTTGTTCAGTTATCCTATATATTATTATTAAATCAAAAGGGTGTCCGTAAGTAGCTTTTGTCACATCTTCCAAGGAACAACCTTTCAAAATTCTGCGAGGGAGGGACAGAGTGGAGGGAGCCTGGATTCTTGAAGACAGGATATGTTTTCAATGACTGATTGAAGAAGACTTCAAGACATAGATTTAATTCCTCTTTCTTCCACTCCCTGCTCAAGGTTAATCTCCAGTCCAGGTTGGAGTATTGCTTACTGCAGCATTCTTGTGAGATTCTGTTTTGTTATTTCATTGACAGAAAGAGTATGAGGATTACATAGAGAGGACCTACCCCCAGTGGAGGGAGCTCTGTCAGGCCAAGATGGCAGGGCCAAAGGTACGCAGATAGATAATTATATATATTGTGTTATATATAATGGTTTCGACAGACGTAGACTCATGATTCTTTTGGAAGAAAATCAAACAACTGGCCTATTGTTTTGTTATCCTTGACTGTTGAGAAAAACACTGATGTAAAACGATGGAATGCTAACATTCAGTATTTTGTATGCCATTATCATGATTATGTAGACAATGTAGCTCAGTTAACAAATGTTTGTTACTTTCATAATGTTGATTATCATACAGCTATCAAAACCAAGGGGTCTGTTGGTAACACTATTTCAACATCTGAGGATAAGAGGTGAAAAATTACTGAAAAATATTTCTGTAACTGTTCTTTTTAAAGAAAATACCCTTTCACTCAGAATTCCAGCAGGTGGTTTGAGAATGCTTGAAATTACAGTTTTTCAGTTGATAAACAGTTAAGTAAACAAATGGAAGTTAAAGTCTGGCCTAAGCTAAACAGTCCATGGCCCAGTTTCATAAAGTGATCTTTGTGATAGCATGATTGTAACTACAATGCTTGAATGTTTTGGAACAGGATCATGTTTCTCAATCTAAGAATTACAGTTTCTAATTTGTGTTCAGCCTGATGCCACTGTGCCTGATGGTCAGATTGGCAGCCCTCGCGAGGAGACAGACCCAATAGCTGAAAAAGTAAAGCTGCAGATGTCACAGATTGTCAACAATAAATCCCCAACCAAGCCACCCAGCAACATTATGAACATCCGAGCTGTGGGAGCATCCCATTCAGCTTCTACAAGTGCTGCTCCTGTGACGACCCACCAAACTTACTCAGTCTCTCAACAGTCCTACATGGCTTCTCAACAGCATCACACAGCCTCCCAGCAAACATACCCTGGGTCACAACATGCATCATCAGTCAATCAGCAGAGCTACGGAGGGACACAGCCTGCTTCATCCACCCCCCAGCACTCTTTACCATCAGCTCAGCCGGTCACAGATTCTCATCACACATACATGAACACTCAGCCATCACAGGCCACACAGATCCAGCCTCCAGAAGCTTTTGCTAATTCATCGTCAGGTCATGTTGCTGACACATCTGCAGAGCGGGACAGCGACATGGTGGGTAAGGGGATTCAGTCTGAGACACCCCGTGATGTGAGCAGGGTGTCAAATACTCTCTCAGACACACCCCGTGACAGGAGTGAAGATGGTGGACCATTGCCGGTACAGAACATAAGTATACAGAGAAAGGTGGCAAGCCCTGCACAGGGGGCAGGTAAGACAGGCGATAATTCAAGATAAGAATATCATTGTCATGATATATTTTTTTTAAGAGCTTGCTGGAAGTAATAGAAAAAATGAAATTGTAAATGATGTATGTCATTTCTAAATCTTATTCCTTTTCAGTTTCAGCCATGCAGCCTGAAGTTGATGAAGATGATGTGGACTTTGGCAGTGATGTTGACCTCCCACTGAGTGATACTCAGGGTCAGGCACCTGTACAACTAAGGGAGAGAACTGTGTCAGGGGGAGATGACTCTGTCTCCGCGTCAAAGCCTTTTGCTAGAGGATCCAGTTTTCACTCATCAAAACGATGGAGGTATGAGATTAATGATAGTCATAGTGGTATGATATATTCATGATTATGGCTGTGTATTTTGGGAATCATGAGTAATCTGTACCTTCTGTTTAACGAGTATGAACGTGTATGTATTCATGATTGATCTCTACCTGTTGTTTACATGGTGTAGCGAGTTGCCTCTGTGTGTATGTATTCATCCTTGATCTCTATATGTTGTTCAGCGAGTATGGATCTTAGTGTGTGTATTCATGATTGATCTCTACTTGTTGTTTAGCGAGTATGGATGTGTGAAGCCAGAACTGACATTGGAGGGAATGCTGTTCCTACTTAAAGTTGTGCAGGAGGATTTCCCCCAAGCCTTTGCTACAGACGGCTACTACAGATCCTACAGACCAGACTCTTCTGCCAGGTTGGAGATCATACAGTGAGTGCACCGACATACATCTTCTCTCTCGCCACTTGTTTCACAGGGGCGGTCGGGTAGCCTAGTGGTTAAAGCGTTCGCTCGTCACGCCAAAGACTCGGGTTCGATTCCCGACATGGGTACTATGTGTGAAGCCCATTTCTGGTGTCCCCGCCGTGATATTGCTGGAATATTGCTAAAAGCGGCGTAAAACCAAACTCACTCACTCACTCACTTGTTTCACATGGTGATACAGGATTATCACCTACACTTGATAGTGAAAGTATACTTAGAACTGTGAAGTTCACAAAGGGCGTATATATTAGCAGTGTAACGGTTGATGGAACAATCGATATTAGCCATTTTTATTAGGCTCTATTTCCACACCACACAGGGGCATGCTCAAAGCACTATACTATTATTACCCCAGTCAGTGGATCAGTGTGAACTTTCATTCTCAGCTCCCTAGGGAGTACACAACTCAAACAGCCTGTCAGGTGCTAAAAGTTTAACTGTCACATTACCATCTTTTCCTACTGGGTACTCATAAGCTGGGTGAACAGAGGCATATTCGAAACAGTCACTTGCCTAAGGAGACACTGCATGTGCTACATGTCCTTCAGTGTGCGGCAGGACGGAAACCCTAGAAACTCTCAGGAGTCCAGCAGTTACCCATCATTACTCTCCGTGACCAACGTTGCTAAACTTCGCCAGATTTGTGACCTATGTGCTGTAAACAGGACCATGTGCCACCACAAATGCCATCACTACTTACATGAGGCACTCATTACCTGATTTCTTTGTACTGAAATACTTTATTTAAGAGTTTCTGAAATGTCCTTCATTCTGTGTATGTGATGTTTCAGGAAAGCCAACAGCAAGAGTGACCTGGAGACGTTTGATCTGAATCAAGTGAGCATGCTGGTGCTGGAGCAGATGATCCTAGTGGTGATGAGTCTGAAGGATGGCTACTTGTTGTCTGACAGCCTTCTGGACCAGGCCGAGAACACTGCTCTCTCACAGCACGCCATCAAGTCAGTGCTAGTATTAATTAAACACAAAACTCTTTACAGATCATATTATAGGCCTCATTGTTTTAATTGTGCATTGGTTTGTTGTTAGACATCACACACAGCAATAGTCTAGCTATATGATGGCAGTCTGTAAAAAATTGAGTCTGGACCATACAATCAAGTGATTGACATGAGCATCGATTTAAACAATAGGGATATGGTGACATGCATAAACCAAGTCAGCGAGTCTGACCACCCGATCCTGTTAGTCGCCTCTTACAACAAGCATAACGTTTTAATTATTTTTATGACAGATATGCTTGTCACTTTTCAGCCTGCATGTAAAAAATAATTTGGAGGCAAATATCTTGAAACCAAAAGCTATTACATTTTTAAGTATTTGAAGATTATTATTCTGACAGATTGTGGTGAATGATTCAACTTTATTGTCATGATGGTACTATCAGATATGAGAGTATTGGGCACCCATTGTAGGCAGCAGTTATCTCCTGATGGGCAGACATTGTGGGATGGCTTGTTCAACCACTTCTCCCTGCTTCTGCAATACAAGGTGATGGAGCCGAAGGAAATTGCAGCTATTTTTGTGCCCTGCATCGTGGAGGATGGGTCACTAAAACAAAAGAAGGTTGGTACAAGTTGTACAAGTTTTTCAGTGACATATATCAAGTACACCATGGACACTCACTTCCACAGTGGTTTAGAATTCAAGGCGACTTGGTCATTGACCGCTACTAAAATCAAATGGCTCTCTATGTCCAAGCTATACCTTGTCCAGACTGTTGGTCACTTCGTCAAGCTCTGCTTAGGTGACAAATGAACTGCAAACTTCACTGTACTGAAATTCAGCTCTGGAAACATTTTCCTAACATCCCACCATAAGCATCATCACAACAATTTGTCTTCTTTCCTTCTTGACTGGTCACAGGCTTATTCACAAATTAATGTCTTTGGCTTCATCTGCAACAAGAAAGTACAGCGCAAAGGCATTGGAACTAGTGGTGCCAGGGTTAAAAAAGAAAAAGAGGGGGCCCTTGGTTCTTAGCTACAGTGTTATATCAATATTACCAAATGAAAGCTGGCAGAGCTGTGTGGTAAAGGAATAACGTGTCTTGTGCAGGCCTACCAGTTGGTTACCCGACTACTGACGAGGATGAGTGGGGATGAGACAGATGATGCCTCTTCCCTGGCCTCCCCGGTACGCCAACCCGCGCCCCACACACCCAAGGCTGATGTCAACAGTGGCACATATGATGGCAAGGGTGAGTGGGTTCGTCAGTTGTTGAGAGTGGGTCGGTTGTTGAGTGAGTGAGGGATGGAGGATGGCTTTTGCTTTGGTTAGCTGTATTACTATCTCATGGCTGTCTTGTTTCAGGTAGACTTCATGAGCTAAATACAGCTAGTCCGCAATACAGTTCCGACTTTATCACAGATTGGAGAAAGGGCTTTTATTTTGAGTCCAAACAATAACGAAAACTGCCAAGCACCATGAAAATGGCACCATGGTGTGAAAAAGTTTCATAGATTGTGATGTTACGGATTTGCATGTGGAATGTAAAATTATTTATCTGCGTTGCTACGAACAGTGTTTTGATCACTTCTTTGCCTCTCTCATTTAGTTCCACCACTGAAGTTTGGCAGCCTGCTGGAGAAACCCCTCACAGATGACGAGTCCACCAGCTTCTTCAGTAGTGCACCGCGAGAGAAAATGCCGCTAAATGGTAACTATGGGAGTAGATATCTTGGACAGATAACCACTGAAGTGTCTTGGAGATGAATTCTTCTGTCTAATTATAAAAACTCCAGTAGGATTACTGGGTTAGACCTATGCTTGTCTTAATGATCAGGTAGTCAGGCTCACTGACATGGATGATAGCGTGTCTTTGTTACCCGATGATGTGGGATGTTGCTCGTAATATCAATCATTTGATCAGTCTGCGACTCAAGCCAGTAGTCTGAAGCCTGCGTTTAGTAAAATTCTGTTCAGTCTAGTAAGCTCAGATATATTAGTCCATAGATAATAACATTAAAATTGGCCGAAAATGATGCTAGGAGCTAAGTTTCGGCTAGTAGCCTCAAAAGTGTTTTGACACAGACTGTTATATTGTCTGGTCCAGACTTGATTGTTTACAGGCTGTAATAGTGTAGCTTAGAGCTGCCCAGTTCTGTGATGGTTTGTGTTGCTCCTCCAGAAACTGATGCCTACAAGAACATGTTGAGTGGAACAATAAACAGCCAGCGCAGCAGACCCCTGGTGGAGGAGGAAGAGGAGGATACAGATGATGATGTCGAGAAACAGTTTGCCTCTGTGTTGTCTCCCCGCACTCCAGCAAGCAACAGGTAGGAGGAGTGGGGAGAAGAGGAGGGTAGGGGAGAAATGGGTAATGAAGTATTGGAGAAGAGGATGGGGAAGGAGAGGGGGAAAGGGAGATAGAAAAAGGGTGCACAATGATGATGATGTTGATATACTGTCTTGTTCCCCTGCACTTAAGCTAGCAACAGACAGGAGGATGTGAGGGTCTGGTTATGATGGGGGGAAAACTGATAGACACAGTGTTGTGCAAAGCGCTCCCGTTAGCAATAGCTAGGAGGAGGGAGAGCATGAAGGGGGACAATGATCATGTCGAGGAACAATTTTCCTCAGTCTTGTCCCTCCGCACTCCAGCTAGCAATAGGTGATGATGTTCAGAAACAGTTTGCCATGGCTTGTACCCACCTCTGGCAAGCCACATGTGGAAGGAGGTAATGGGAGAGGAGGGGTAGGAAACAGGAGGTAGGTACACATGATGATATTCAGAAACAGTTTACCTCAATCTGGTCCCCCTGCACTCCAGCTAGCAGCAGGTGGGAAGATGAGGAAGGATATGGGGGAGGGGGCACGGATGATGATGTGGAGGAAACATTTGCAGTAGTCTTGTCACCCCAAATTCCCAGCTAGCAACAGGTATAGGGTGAATACCCAGGAGGAGGGAATGGCAGGGAGGATGGGGGAGGGGGGAGGGGGCAGGGATGATGATGTGGAGGAAACATTTGCTGTTGTCTTGTCACCCCAAATTCCCAGCTAGCAACAGGTATAGGGTGAATACCCAGGAGGAGGGAATGGCAGGGAGGATGGGGGAGGGGGGAGGGGGCAGGGATGATGATGTGGAGGAAACATTTGCTGCAGTCTTGTCACCCCAAATTCCCAGCTAGCAACAGGTATAGGGTGAATACCCGGGAGGAGGGGGGAGGGGGCAGGGATGATGATGTGAAGGAAACATTTGCTGTTGTCTTGTCACCCCAAATTCCCAGCTAGCAACAGGTATAGGGTGAATACCCTGGAGGAGGGGGAATGGCAGGGAGGATGGGGGAGGGGGCAGGGATGATGATGTGGAGGAAACATTTGCTGTAGTCTTGTCACCCCAAATTCCCAGCTAGCAACAGGTATAGGGTGAATACCCTGGAGGAGGGGGAATGGCAGGGAGGATGGGGGAGGGGGCACGGATGATGATGTGGAGGAAACATTTGCTGTAGTCTTGTCACCCCAAATTCCCAGCTAGCAACAGGTATAGGGTGAATACCTGGCAGGCGGGTAATGGCAGGGAGGATGGGGTGAGGGGACACGGATGATGATGTAGAGAACTTGAGAGGAATGGGATTGATAAGCAATACTGTGGAAAAAATATTGCATCAGTGGTCAAGAAACTGCAGTAATACTATGAAAAGTTAATTTTTTATGTTAAAGCAATCTTGTTGTGTTCAACATTTCCAGTTGTGTAATGATGCTCTGTTGCCTACTGTTTGAATCAAATAAGACACATCTGTAAGTGGAATACCAAGAATAAGTTTGGGGATGGAGAATATTTACATTGATTCATGGTTACTGTCAAATTTTGATACCATATTAGGTTGTTGATGTTTCCAAATAGTTCATCTCTGATCAAAACCGACAGATTTATGATACACTGTTGAGTTATTTTGGTCTAATTATTATTTGTAGCTTGGTTTAGCTCAGGTTAGTGTTTTAATGTCCGTAAACATTGTTAATCAGTAGGTAGTGTTGTGAAAGTAGTATTCTAGATCTCTTCTGTGGGAAAACATGAAAAAATCTGTGATGAACCAACACTGTAATGTGAGCTCAGTAGTATAAGGTGCTGCAATATGCTGTGCAGAGATTTGTCCCTTAACTGTGCCAGGATCTGCTTTTGTGTTTCCTGAATTTTTGACAGAAGCCTTCTTGTGCTTGTGGTGAATTTGTATCACCTGCATCACTTTGGGCTTCCTCCCACATAAGCTGACAAACTGCAATATACCTTTAATCATTGCTCATCAGCATCCTTTGAAGAAGCTTCCATATGGGTTATAGGGGCCTGGTGGTAATTGGAGACTAGGTGTGTGATATTTTAACTTCAGTGTTGCATAAACTTCAGTGACTGAGGTCACGTGATAACCAAATATGGGATAATAGTCTCGAGCCAAATGTTACAACGCGTACACTTGAGCAGACTCATGAATATAACTCATGAATATTAATTAGACCGTTCACTACGTTAACAGATCGTTATTATAACAGAAACAAACATATTTTTTCCATGTAAATCTAAAATGATATTATTTGTTATTAATTGTCCGGTGAAACAATTCATAATTCATCATATTATGAATACGTAAACTTGTAATGTGTGTGAAAAGTCGTACTAAAATACGCTATTTGAAGGGGGCGTGGCCTAAATGCAAATGTCCGATTGGGATTTTAAATTTTCCGGACCCCTGCTTCAGTCACTAATCAATTGACATACAATACAATATAACTTCTTGATACAGAATTTATTTTAAGATTGAGAGTGAGAGTGAATATAGTAGTATAAAATATACTTTGTGTGGAGTGTTATCAAGAGAACTTCAAAACTGATATCATGCCTGAAAAATTCTAACATACCCAGTGCTTATTAGAGACCTGGTGCTTATTAAAGACCGAGCAGTTGATGAGTTGTACGATGCTTCATACCCAGTGCTTGTTGGAGACCTGTGCCTATCAGAACCGGTGCTTATTTATAGAGAAAATATGGACGCTGAAATACTGTTTTACCAACTCCGTCATTTAGATTATTAGTCACTGATTCTTCTCTCTATATATGTTATGTTTATTTTTACATCACAGCTGCTAGGTAAATATGAGTTATTTTTCATCTTGTTGCTACTGTCTGAGTAGACATGCTAGGCGTTCTTCCATCTTTTATCACACAGAGTGTTTACACCAGGTAAGGTATGTGATGGAGGTCAGATCATGTCAAACCATCCTCAACCTTTCAGCATCCCAGAGGCAACGGCAAACTTTGACACACAAAGTAAGCCGCCCCAGATCGAAGATGACGACGTGTCGGAGATGAGCAGCCCTACAGCAGCAAATAGTCCTGTGTATGTCCCAACAGCAATACAGCCGAGGTACCCGTCACACTGCTGTTGTCATGCTGCATGTTTGTACTGGTGTCACAGCGCTGTTGTCTGGCTTTTAGCTAATACTGCGTCATACAGCTTTGATCAGTGCTGACAGTAATGCTCTGCTGTTGTTGATGATGCTGTTGTGTGTACTGATGTAACAACTGATGTCAGTGCTGATCTATAGTAGCTATGGCTGTTGAATTTGACTACTACTATTTGCATGTATGTCAGATCTAACATGGCAGCAGGTTTCATGTTGGCTTACTGCTAACTTTTTTGTTGTCCTTGTTTGTATTCTGAAATGTATAAATCAGAATTTTGCTCCTTTCCATCGCTGTTCAATGTTAACCCTGCATGTTTTGTTTGCATCCAACTTAACATTTTGCCTAATTACTAAATGTTTTTTGTGTGAAACAATAATATAAGGCCAGACCAAGTAAATTTCTCGTTTTGTGTAAATTTATTGGTCATTATGCCAAGGGGTAGAAAAAAGAAATTCAGGGTTGTTTTGAGAGTAATTTCCTGATGAACAATTTTAAATAATAATTTCATCCAGGGAACAGTATTTATTCTTTTCTAAATTTTAACTTTTCAAAATTTTAATTAGACACAGCAGTAATTATTGTAAAACAAAAAGTGAATTGGTCTGGTGATGTAAGGCATGTTAATTGTATATTCGTGTATATTGAATCACAAGCTGATATAATCATAATTATTAGATAACAAATTGTATTCATTCCGTTTAATCATTTCTTATTCATCATCATGATCATACACATTTCCTATGCATGATGCTTTCAGAAATTTCGTTGCTTATGTTGTTTATCAATATACTAAATTATACATAAGGCTCCCATGGTATATCATGGTATATATAAGTAATTGTTAAAAAACGACTCTGAGGTCTTGACTGAGCATGTAAAGCCTGGGAAAAAGGAAATTGCTGAGGGACGACTTTCTGACCAAAATAAAAGTCTGAAACATCATTTATCAACAATTTTATGTTTCAAACATACTGTCCTTGAACCTTAGGAAATGGATGTAAAAAATATCTTGCTGGGGTACACATACTTAGAGGAGATTCTTAAAAGCATTTTGGTTTATCAGCACCTCTTGCCTAATGGTTCACTCCCGCCTTTGTTTGGCACTGAGACATGTATGATATATATCTGTCAGCTCATTAGTTTTATTTCTGTTCCAGGTCAACAATGAACTCAACAGGTTCAAGCCAGCCACCCAAGAGAATAGGTACAGTAGCAACAGATGGATATTTACGGTGGATCCCAAGGGGATTCTGGGTAGAATAGGTACAGTAGCAACAGATGGATATTTACGGTGGATCCCAAGGGGATTCTGGGTAGAATAGGTACAGTCGCAACAGATGGATATTTACGGTGGATCCAAAGGGGATTCTGGGTAGAATAGATACAGTCGCAACAGATGGATATTTACGGTGGATCCAAAGGGGATTCTGGGTAGAATAGGTACAGTCGCAACAGATGGATATTTACGGTGGATCCCAAAGGGATTCTGGGTAGAATAGGTACAGTCGCAACAGATGGATATTTACGGTGGATCCCAAGGGGATTCTGGGTAGAATAGGTACAGTAGCAACAGATGGATATTTGGGATGGATCCCAAGGGGATTCTGGGTAGAATAGGTACAGTCGCAACAGATGGATATTTACGGTGGATCCAAAGGGGATTCTGGGTAAAATAGGTACAGTCGCAACAGATGGATATTTACGGTGGATCCCAAGGGGATTCTGGGTAGAATAGGTACAGAAGAACAGATAGGGAGTCTGGGGGTGGATCCAAAGGGGGTTCTGGGTTGGAATAGGTCCTCTAATGTATGTTTTAAGAGGCGCAATATGACCGGATGGTCAGACTCGGTGACTTCATCGATTTGCCCCAGCCCTAACAAACTGCTGCTATTTCAAACCCTTTTTACTAAAATGTAAGTATTTTTTTATTAATTTCAGCGGGAATAAAGATCAGCTCTGACCTTGACACAGATTCTGAGCTTGATGTTCTAGCAGCCAGCAAGAAACGACAGAATTCGGAGGAACAGGAGGATGACTTCGACTTCTATGGCTGATTCTTGTGGATTCACCTGTTCACCCAGATCACATATATCAGTATAGCTCTAGTCTAGTCTTCTTGATTAGTTGGTGCATTTAGTCCATACATCTCAAGTATGTTGTTAAATGTTGACGTCTCATCAGCACACATTAACATGCCACAGAAACCAGAAAATTCAGTTAGCACTGGATTCACTGTGTCGTCTTTGAGTCTCAGTCATTGCTGGATGTGTCTTATAGTTAGCCATTGACCTCATTCCACATGTTGTGTAGTCCCAAAACAAGGTATAAATTTTCATGGTATATTTAGCGCCAGTGCAGGCAGTTCAAATATGTCAGCTCTCCTTATTTCCACCTTTCTATGTGCTGATGTATAAAATATGTCCCATACATTAAAGATTGTGGGGGAACGAGTGGCCCAGTCATCTAAGGTGCCGCGATTCACTGTGCAGAGTTGTGTCCCTTGGGCACGCCAGAAACCTATGATTGTGGGTTCGAATCCCGGTTCGCCCTGATTGTTTCTGGGTTTGTCAGCACCATACCTGTGCTCATGGGTTTCACTGAAGTGGTAAACATCCGAGACCTGCATCACTTTGGGCTTTCCTCCCACATTAAGCTGACATGCCGTGATATAACTGGAATACTGTTAAAAGCGGCGTTAAACCCAACTCACTCACTCACTCACTCATTAAAGATTGTAGCCATGACACACTGCTTCTGTGGCCATCCCAGTTCCAGAGCAGATACAGACAGAGCTTGCCTGTAGAAGATGTGTGAACAACGGGACAGCATCCCTAATCTCATTACCGTCGAGACCTGCAGCTGTTTTGGTACAAGCTTTGTTTAACAGAAGACAAGATATGTTTATTTCAAAATTTGGTTTGTTTTGTGTGATATATTCCATTACATACAGCAATGTGTATTTCTTCTGGTTTGTTTTGTGCGATACATGAAATAAGATGTGTTTCATTGGGACATAATTTGGTCACGTTACTTTAGGTCTTCTCGCCTTTGGGTAACTCACAATGGTTTCCTTTAAGATTGTGATACTTATGGCATGGCACAGGGTCTATCTACCAACTTGGTTATTTGAAGGTCCATTGGTCTGAACAAAAGGTACACGTTCAGTCAGTCCACTTTAGATTTAGGGGCTTTGTTAAAAAGTTTCCCTTTTCAGTGCTGAATTACAGCAATTCTGAACATTTGTTTGTGTGGGTCCTAGTTTATCTAGCTGTCCTCATCACTGATCAGACTCCTTCAAATTCTCTCCCACATCAAATAGCTTCAGCCAGCAGTATAAGTCTTGTTCTACAAGAATGTTTTTTTCAATTGTTTCAAAAACTTCCATTGGGATTCCAGGTTAGAATAGGTCCCCAGCAACCGATGCTGTTCTCCCTGTGGTGAATTAGGGTTGGAATAGGTCCCCAGCAACCGATGCTTGTCTCCCCATGGTGAATTAGGGTTGGAATGGGTCCCCAGCAACCAATGCTTGTCTCTCCGTGGTGAATTAGGGTTGGAATAGGTCCCCAGTTGCATATGCTTGTCTCCCCGTGGTGAATTAGGGTTGGAATGGGTCCCCAGCAACCGATGCTTGTCTCTCCGTGGTGAATAAGGGTTGGAATGGGTCCCCAGCAACCGATGCTTGTCTCTCCGTGGTGAATTAGGGTTGGAATAGGTCCCCAGTTGCATATGCTTGTCTCCCCATTGGGATTCCAGGTAAGAATAGGTCCCCATCAATCTATGCTTATTGGATTGGTTGGTCAGTCTTTAGGACATGGTTGATTGTATGGCATGGTAACTGGACTGTTGATAGTTGCACACAATATCAATGTCTGGTCCAGGCTTGATTATAGACAGGCTGCCATGATATATCTGGAATATTGCGGAGTGCAGCATTAAACAACAAGCAAACAATCTCATCATGAATAGGACTTCTTAACTGGCTTCATATTGCCTTGTATCCTGTTGGACTTTCATATCCTGGCTCTAGTCTTGATTTAAATGGTGATCGGAAAATTTCAATTTATTATGAGATGAGATGTAAATATATGACTAGACATGCAGGGTAAGTGAACTGGAGGATTCTGCAGACATGTTATTGCCCATGGAATAGTGACACACTGTATCAAAAGGAAAAGAAATGGCCCAGGTATGTGCAGAAATTGTGGCATTACCTGTTTCACATTCCATTATTTATGAGCTATTTCTGTGATATTCTTGGCACCATTGGTGCTGAAAATGGCACCATTTCTTGTAGAATCATGTTCTTTTAAATTGTTTCCGTCCACTCCAGCAAATGTGCTTGCAGAATTCAATACTTATGTCATCTGTGATGCATTTACTGTCATTCTATATACACAAGTGGTTGAATAAAACTATAAATTGTGTGGTTTTGTTTTTGAATCTATAAATTCTTAAATATTCCTACAAATGGGGAGGCAATTTGCTCTGTAGAATTGCATTTCTTGGGTATGCCAGAAACCTGTGATTGTTGGTTTGACTCCCGGTGCTTGGGTTTGTCAGCACCATACATGTACCTTTATTCAGGAGTTTCATGAAAGTGGTAAACGTGTAAGACCTGCAATGCTTCAGGTTTTCCTCCAACATTAGGCTGAGATGCTGTGATATAACTGGAATACTGTTCAAATTGGTGTTAAACCCAACTCTCTCATTCACTCTTACAACTGGAGTCAATATCAGTCTTCAGTTTACTTATTTTCAACTTGGAGAGAAGTTTGCTGGTCTCAAACACATTTGTTTTATGACTGAAGAAAATCTACAGGACCAGTTGTAATTTACAGTAATTAACAAGACAATGTTTTTGTCAGATGTGAACCGTATTCAGTGAGAAACCTGCAAGAATGCTAACCATATAAAATAGTGGATTCTGATATAATGCTCGTAAGAGTGACTCCCTTGACGATTCAGGTCAGAATTGATCTTCAGCAACCCATGCTTGTCATGTGACTAACAGAATCGGGTGGTCAGGCTTGGTGACTTGGTGCTTGACATCATATCCCATTTGAGTGGACTGATGCTCATGATGTCAACCCGTGATTGTCTGGTGCAGATTCGATTATTTACACACCGCTGTCATACAGCTGGAATACTACCGAGTGTGGCGTTAGTGAGTGAGTATGGTTTTACGCCGTTTTTAAGCAATATTCCAGCAATATCACGACGGAAGACACCAGAAGTGGGCTTCACACATTGTACCCATGTCGAGAATCGAACCCGGGTCTTCGGCGTGACGGAGTGTGGCGTTAAAACATCAACCAAATCTTATTCGTTTATCCGTGAGTCTATCGAACCACCGAACCTGCATGCTTGTCGCAGGAGCCTACTAATGAGATGGTCACAACATGTGACATCGATGATTGGATATCACTACTGCTTGATTGGGTGGACTGCTAATGCTTTCGACCACTGGTTGGCCAAAACTCAGGCAGGTGTTATATTGCTGGAATATTGCTGACTACAACTTCAACAACACTCAAACCTGACCTTTGAAAAGTGAGGGCACTAAAGACAACACAAGGGTTGTTGCAACTAAATGGTACAATGGTATTTGGGAGAAAGGCTGGAAGACATGAAACTTTTAAGGACAACAACAGGTCACCTAATAAAGAGGCAAGACGTAGCCATGGTTCATCGTTTCAAACATTTAAGTTGTGATCCCAAAAGGTTTCATGTCATAATGTTCCTCCAACTTCTCAAAGCCTATCAAAGAGTTGACAATACACAGAGGTAACTATGTATTTATTCACATGTCAGCATCAACAATAAAGCATGCACTGATGAACAAATACCCTGAAAATATATGTCCTTTGTACAAAATGCAGGTCAACAAGCAATAAACATATGTCTTCATGAGGTGCTTCACGAGGAGTATTTCATTAATATACTGTGCATAAATGGGGATTATTTGAGCAATGTGGTGATGCTGTCTCAAGGATATTATGCCCTGCGTTCAATGGTGCAGAGGGTTTGTGGCACTACTGAAGCTGCTCTGTTCGTTGAACGATCTCGCAGAAAATGTTTCCAAAATGGCCGACATGGTCTAAGTGGTCTTCCTATTGAAAATAAATAGGACGAAACATATATCACAGATTATACAACAATGATTCATTATGATCTCTTTAAGAACCATATATAGAAAGCACATCCATTTGGATATTCTGTACATTTAATTGTTTTGTTAACAATGTATTGGTGTTTATAAGCCCATAACTATTACTGCTATGGTTGTGTTAACAGTGAAGGATTACCACTATGTATGCAAATGCTTTAACCGTGGGAAGGCTATATTCTGAACAGTTATGGAATGTATATAAATGAATGATCTTCAGCAGCCATCTTAGTCTCTTGACGAAGTAGCCCCTCCGAAAGTTTGCCAAGAGACAGATGGTAACAGTTTCACGTGACCTCATTTGGCCATGCCCCCTGCAATCTGGCCAGCAAGGTGGTTCGAGGTATGAGACTAGGGCACGAGGCCATGGTGACCACAACTAAACAACAATGTCACAACAAAAACATATGTTCTTTTGAAAGTAAGAAGTGCAGGGCAGGCTTATGTACAATTAACAGGGATGAGAATGTGTTTTATAAAAAAACACACACTGAAAGTTAGCTTGGGGTCTGGAGGACTATGATTTATCCGTATATTGTAATAGCATGTATCACAAAAATTACCCTTGACGAAACGAAATCCGCAGATTCTTGGAAAATTCTCAGCCATGAATGAAGGTCACCCATGGTATACCAATAGTTTAGTACTGGCATATGACTTCCAATAATATCATTAAATATGGTGGATGTGAATTTACAATGAAATTCATTTTGGCATCACTTCTACAATATGCAGAAAACTTCAAATTATTTGCATGACAAAAGTTATACTCTCTGATAGCTGGTTATAGGAATAGTGTAATATCCATGTTTGGAAAACTTAGATCCCACCTTTTCCATCTCATCCATTCTTAAATACTTCACATAGGTATTATAGGTGACCTTTGACATGAGAATATATCTGTACATGGTGAGTGAGTGAGTTGGGATTAATACCGTTTTGAGTATTTCATATACAAAGGAGACACAATTTATGGATAACAACTTAATTTCGGTATAGATCCTTATACCGTTGTCAAGCTTGACAATGATATAAGGACCTATACCAAAACGTTGCCTTTACAGTATTAAAGAAGTTGTTATCCATAAATTGTGTCTACTTTGACATCCGTCAACTTCTAAGTAATATAACTATAATAACTATAATAACTATAATATATATAATAACATCTCAGGTTAATATGGGAGAAAGCTGAAGTGACACATTGAAACACACCACTACGGACAAACAGGATCATAATACTGGATTTTCCACTCCGTACAGTGATCACATGACAAAGGACAAGATCAGGGACAAAATGGTTACTGACAACGAATATTATTGGTGAAGCATCCAGACTGATTGCGATGTCTATAGCCCGGTCTTCCCACTTCTGCTTCAGAATGGAGGCCATTTTGTAAGGATAGTATGTCATGTGATTAGCTACAGTTAGAATCATAGATTTCGTGGAGTGGAATATGGAATATTGGGACAAATGTGGGATTTGAACCCTTGAGCAGATACTGTCAAACAAAGGGATGCAACTCTGCACAGCACATTATAGTGCCTGAGACCACTAGGCTGCCTGCACCCTCATTGTAACATATGGTCAATATAATATTACAAAAGTATAATATTTCAGGTTGCATGTGTTCTTTGATCTAACAATTTAGTCATTTAATTAATGCAGGAAAAATGTACCTGAAGAGTCTTTTTTGAAACCATATCCTCACCTTCAACAGCTAAAGTGTTGACACTAATTTCACAGCACACTAAAATGATCATTTGTCCAAATATTCCATTTTTGAACAATAACAAACAATGAATAACAACCTGTGTACTGATTCCATGCATACAAACAAACCAAAATAGAATCATAAATCACACTGCACTTAATCCAAAAATAAATATATTACCATTTTAAAATCATCAACATTGAAAGCTCTGCAAAGCCCCACACACATGAGCACAAGACAATCTGTTTCCTCCCCATACTGGCCCATATAGACTTAAGCAATGCATGTTTCATGTATGCATTAACAATGCATGTGATTCATGCATAACTGAGTATATGATGAAAACATATTGCACACTTTCTAAATTGAAGCCTGAAGTATACATAGGTCTCCCGTAGAGTCAGTGAATCACAATTATCCCTAGGTAATATCATTCTTGATTATCCAGTGTATCATATTTCCATTCTAATACACTACTAAATATTTGAGAGGCATATTTTGAGTTTCCAGACTGGGGATATATCTGATTGTAATTTGGATTAAAATAGGATGTGAATTGGGCATGGAATTAATGCATGTTAGGCTTCATTTCCAGTGATAATAAACTATTAAACATGGGAGTGTGCATGCATTGTTTTAGAAGACTTGCGCACTATCGAAATATTGCATTGTTCAAACAGTGGGTGTTTGTGTTGGGACACTGAATGGGGAAAAGTTCATCTTCTTTGCAAACAGGCTTCACTTCTCTCCCAAAATGACGACAAAATGGGTCCTAAATTCACTTAAATGTGTCTGAACAATACTACTGAAGTCCTGACTGGGATACTGTCCTAGCTCACACTTACGAAAAGAGGTGAGTTTAAAATGGGTTTAACGTCACAATTGTTGCACTTATATAGCGACTCGATGCATGTATATGTGTGTGGCTGCTTGTATTAGTTTGGACGAATGCTGATTTTATAGTGCTAGCCCATTGAGATACCATGCCACAGTTTAACATGAATACCCCACTCAGACACAGTATACTGACTCTGAGACGACCAGTGCTTGTTTAAGCCCCTTAATGCCAAGTGCCAGGCAAGGTAACAACAAGTACCATCTTTTAACATCTTTTGATATGATGTGGCTAGTGATCGAATCCCTGACCTTCTGCACTCCGGGTGGAAGCTCTACCACTAGACCATGGAGGTGGTCCTAATGAAACATAATTTTTATCTGGTCCATCCAAATTGTGACCTATTCTTATCTCCAAACAACTAGTCCAATCTCCCGCATAGGGCGGTGGGGTAGCCTTGTGGTTAAAGCGTTAGCTCTTCATGCCGAAGACCTGGGTTCGATTCCCGACATGGGTACAATGTGTGAAGCCCATTTCTGGTGTCCCCCACTGTGATATTGCTGGAATACTGCTAAAAGCGGCGTAAAACCATACTCACTCACTCACCAATCTCCCACATGGACACTCAGAATATCCTTATCAAATGTTGAGTAGTATATAACATCGTGGATCCATTCACCACCATAGCGTCTTTGGAAGTGATGTCCCCATCTTTTATCTCTCCTGACTCCATCATATGACAGAAATTCTCTCGCTCATGAGAGTACATGTAATTTGACTGGATGGATGTTTTTTACATTGTGCAGTGATAATTGGGGTCAAGATGAATCTATGGTGGCAAATGAGCACAGGGTATTTATCATTGTAGAATGGAGGCATAATACACTGGATTATCAAGGATAAGACAGCTTAAGATCTTGAAATGCTGTTGGACACTATCCAGGTTATCTAGTAACAATATTCATTAATTATCAATGATTTTATTCTATCTTCAAATGGCCTGACAATTTTCAACAGCATAAACAAGTTTGGATCATTATTTCAATCTACAAGACAATAAAAACCATATGAAAGTACACATTTAAAGACATATACCAAAGTTCATCAAAGTAGAATGCCCCAAACAGAGATACTCGTGAAAGTAAAACTTTCCTCTCACAAATGGCCATTTCCCCAGGACATGTACTGCACAATGTGTTTAGACATGCTGGTAACGTGACTAACATCCACCTTTTTGCCATCACAGTTGGAGAATGTAAGCAACACATATTCCATTTTTTTCAGCATTTTGATCATGTTCCTTTATGCCAGACATTTTATATTTCTTGGTTTACAAACATTCTTCAAATATATTTGAACAAATGAAAAGATATCTAAATACTTAAGTTATGTGTGCTGTGTTGGTTAAGCTGAACATGTTGGTCTCTAGGAAGAGAATTTATGGATTGCAATTCTTTATTATGAGGAACACTGATGAAGGAGTAAGCATATACACTGAAACGTTGTGTTCCTCATAATATAAGAAGTTGACATCCTTAAATTCTCCTCCTTATGTGTATCACTTCTAAATGCCTTTCAAAGATGCGTTGGTCTTGAATGACCATGAGTGTGCACTCGGTGTTCCTCTTTTCAAAATATGCCTATATATTAAATATTCATCACTTGCAATCATGTATGTATATCTTTCAGTCTGTATAAGTATCAGAATTCACTGGCAATGGAAGTCACTTCACACAGAAGCATTGATCTCAGGAGCAGCCTGTGTTCAGCAGGAGGAAGACACAATCACAACATAGAAACTCACAACAGATTAAGAATGCCAATCTGTAAATATCTTAAGATGCAATAACACCCATTCAAAGTTCAGGATATATATTTCACTCAGTAGGCAGGTACAGGTAATTGAAGTACAACAAACCATGGTTTGAACTCCCCACTCTGTCCGACACTGTGTGTGCTTGCAAGAGTTCAAACCAGAATAAATGAATTGCAAGGAATTCCATGGCATTTCATTGGCTAAACTTAAAAATATGATAGGCCTTGCCCACTAGCGGACCACTGTTTCCTCATGTCACTGATTTCATATCATTGTTTTTTTGTGATTATGATTAAATATGTAGTCTGAAGTTATCATTTTGACTATTTACTTAAAAGAATTCCCATAAATTTTTGTGTGCATTTATGGAGGTATAAATGTGAAAACCGTTGTGCAGACTTTGCATAAATCTGTGGTGCAATGTGCACACCAAGTTTTACTTCTTTCCTCATCAATGCCAAAATTATTGAGATCAATTCTTAAATGAGTGATATCATATATATACAGTGAAACCTATTTGTCCCTATGGTAGAATTTTTGCTGAAATCATCTGGTTTTACAATTTTTTGAATAAACAAATGATGGGTGAGTGAGTGAATATAGCTTAACTTTGCATCAGAAATATTTCAGCTATTTACACATCACAAATGATGAGTATGCAGCAATTTCACATTGTATGCATGTCAGCATTCCCAGCAGTGTTCATTCATAATCAATGGGGTCCAAGCTCGCGAGGTTTAACTGCAGTGATCATTCATAATCAATGGGGTCCAAGGTCATGAGGTTTCACTGCAGTGTTCATTCATAATCAATGGGGTCCAAGGTCATGAGGTTTTACTGCAGTGATCATTCATAATCAATGGGGTCCAAGCTCGCGAGGTTTAACTGCAGTGATCATTCATAATCAATGGGGTCCAAGGTCATGAGGTTTCACTGCAGTGTTCATTCATAATCAATGGGGTCCAAGGTCATGAGGTTTTACTGCAGTGATCATTCATAATCAATGGGGTCCAAGGTCACGAGGTTTCACTGCAGTGATCATTCATAATCAATGGGGTCCAAGGTCATGAGGTTTCACTGCAGTGTTCATTCATAATCAATGGGGTCCAAGGTCATGAGGTTTTACTGCAGTGATCATTCATAATCAATGGGGTCCAAGGTCACGAGGTTTCACTGCAGTGATCATTCATAATCAATGGGGTCCAAGGTCATGAGGTTTCACTGCAGTGTTCATTCATAATCAATGGGGTCCAAGCTCCTGAGGTTTCACTGCAGTGATCATTCATAATCAATGGGGTCCAAGGTCACGAGGTTTCACTGCAGTGATCACTCATAATCAATGGGGTCCAAGGTCACGAGGTTTCACTGCAGTGATCATCCATAATCAATTGGGTCCAAGGTCACTGCAGTGATCATCAGTCGCCTTTAACAGGGAAATACGATCAATCATATGATCAACATTATGGTCAAAATATGGTAAGTGCTTAGATACTCTTTCTAAGACCTTGGTTCAAAAGTTATGAGTGAGTTGTTTAATGTCACTATGAACAGTATTTCAGTTACAGTTGGGAAATCCTAAGCGCTACATGGCTGACAGAACTAAGAGTGCAGTGAAACTTGACAAGATGATTGACATAAGTGATAACTCAACGGCCACTAGTGCATTCTGGGAATGAAACTGGGAATGAAACTGGGAATGCTGGGAGTGTGAGATGGGTGAGCAGATTACAGGGTCGATGTGTGTTGTCAAGCCTGTCATGTGACTGACTCGAGTGTTGGCCTGCGTGTAGAAAAGTACTGCTCATCCAGCTCTGGGCCCTCATCATCATCTTCGATCTCTCCCTCGAACATCTGCATCAGCAACACCTCCACCTTCTTGCGACCTGGAAATAACACGAGTTGATTACTAACGACACCTGTAAGTGACCTTTATCTAATACCATGTCTCCATGTGCATAAAACACATCCCAGATATGTTGGAGGTCAGTCAAGAAAATACTATCTTGTGTACGATGTGCCGTAAACTGTCTCCTCAGTTTACGTCAGGACACATCTTGCCAGCCTCTAAAAACATTTCTCCTGAACACTCCTCGCATCAATCACCATAGTCACTACCCAAACAAAATGTGTCATGCACTGCAATCCCTGATCTAAGCGGTTTGATCACCTGACACCCAATGCCACATCATTCTCTTTCTTAGAGCTGACAGGCTAGAGTAGCTGTGATGCGGAGATGGTCGGGTGGACATATAGCGTGTTTTAGACTTATCCTATCTAACACTATGCATTTAATCCCACGGTTGGAGAGAGGGTCGCAGATACTCTAGTCTGTAGTGGACTACAACTGTGAGATGTACACGAGGAAGCTGGTGCTAAACAATGCTTCAACAACAGGATTGTTGCACAGTTTAGTGTCCAAAGGACTTGGACTCATGAGTGGGTAGAACACTGTAATAAGTGAGTGAGTGAGTGAGTTGGGTTTAACGCCACTTTTAACAGTATTCCAGTTATATCACAGCATGTCAGCTTAATGTGGGAGGAAAGCCCGAAGTGATGCAGGTCTCAGACATTTACCACTTCGGTGAAACCCATGAGCACGGGTATGGTGCTGACAAACCTAGAAACATAATCGGGACGAACCCACAATCGTAGGTTTCTGGCGTGCCCAAGGGATGCAACTCTGCACAATGAATCGCAGCACCTTAGACGACTGGGCCACCCGTGCTCCCACTGTAATAAGTGAGTGAACCCATTAATGATACTTGGACACAAAATCATGATATTGGGTATACCATGCATTATGTATCTCCACAGAGGACATCGTTTCAAGAACGACCGCGTAGCCACGACTTATAACCAATCCGGAAAGGGACTCCAGGGAATTAGTGCTACAAGATAAACCACCAAATACGCTCTAAGATGTAAGACTGATCAGCTTAGTATCTCTCTTCACACTTTGCCTGTGGAATTGAAGCATGCTAAGATAAGAAGAGGTAACCATCAACAACATCCATAAGAGGATCTTGAAACCAATACCTAGACATCGCATGCTCATTGAGGTGAACAGGAAAGAGTTTGGGACACTGCCAAAACAGCTGCACCTTGCTGCAACTTCATTGCTGAAGATCGAAGTCTCTACAGACGAGTGGCATCACCCTTCAATGGGTACTCAGCCTGGGAACCTGAGTTTTACTAATAATAAACAAAGGAGTGCCGTTCCATCATTTATTCAGTACAGTAGAACATGGATATAATGAACTACAAGGGACCAGAGAAATCAGTTCATTTTATATGTTGTTCGTTCTTTATATTTCACTCAGAAATATACGCCATCTTGGATGAAACAAAAGACAATACACGTAATTGCAGCATTGACTTGTATTAACTGTGATCACTTCATACCATTCAATTAATACAATTTTATAACATTCATTTAATAACAATAAATTCATAGCAATTTTAGAACATTGATCATCAAATATGTATACTCATGACCATTGAAAACACAATTAAATGTTCAGATGGTATGTATTTTATTACAGTGAAAGAAAACAAAACAGTAATGACGCACATAAACATCACATCAAATGTTAACAATAATGTCCGTAAGAAACAAGCACATGGAGGACGTCACAGAGGCTCAGAATGAAGCCCGGGTCACTGAGGATTAGTAGCGGATATGACGCAGGTATTGTGCTCTGCCGCATGCGTGTAGTCCCGAGGCATGGACTGACACAGACGCCTCAGGAAACGTTGTTCTGCCAGTGATGTTGTAGGGACTGCATCAACTCTGCCACTGTCTGATGTGGCTGCTGTTGAGTTCGAACCCTCCGTCCTAGGTCGTCCCACAAGTGTTCAATTGGATTCATGTCAGGTGACATGGCATACCAGTTCTCCACACAGATGTTGTTCCTCGTCAGAGAGTCTCCCGTGAACCTTGCAGTGTGTGGACGTGCATTGTCATGCTGGAAGACAAGCTGATGTCGGGTGTCATGTTGAACCAGTAAAGGCAATAGTGCTGGATGAAGGATACGACGACATCCTATGCCAAACGCAGGCAGGCCCCTTGTTTGGGGGCCGATGCGAGTGTTGATAGGGTCCCAAAAGTCCTTGTGGCTGTATCTATGGCTGTTGGGAATCTGTTCCGAAGCCGTAAAAAAAGGACATCACAGTGCACGTGCAGCATAAGGCCTAGGACGATCAGCAGCTGTCCCTGTTGTTTTAAAATGATGCCACAGTCGAGTTATCATGCAAAGATGGATGTTAAAGCATCTGGCGACGATCACTTGAGTTGCTTCGTCTTGCAGCATTCCGATCGCTTGGTTCCTGCAGGGTTGGTCGAGTCTTAGCATATTGAACAAGTGACTGATGACTATTTTTGTGTGTGCTTTTAAAGGACAGCATGTGGCCAGCAACAGTGGTTGTGTTTCTGTGCAGTGTTCACAGATGCATTTTTCACTTTAATACTCATTGCTCCAAGACAGTATAAGGTTCGAACCTGAACTGTCACAGGGGGTCACATATCCCTCACAGATCTATAATGGTGCTTAAAAAGGTTTTGGGCGATTCCTCTTTTCACAAGTTATCATCAAAAGCAATTGAATTTTCAATGGTTTTGAGTATATATACAATTTCACGATTTACATATGGGTAGATGTGTAGTCAGGGATTTGTCTGGCCTAGTTTTGCATTCGTGAAACTGCCTTGATGAGATCAGCCAAAGTATCAAATGATGTCATCTCAGTTGACTTTTGTGTATTCAGGAAAACCTTGAGCATTTCAAGAGCCTCATTGGCATCAGAAAAGGAGGTTGTGGATGGTCCAACACAGTTGATCCCAACTTGTGTGTCTTCATCATTGGAATCTGCTCCGGCAGTTCTGTCACGCTTTTCTACAATCGACTGGACAATGTCCTCATCACTTGGGCGTCCAGCAAGAAGGATGTCTTAGTCTATGTCTATGTACTCTTGGAGAGTCACTCCAGTTGAAATGTCTGTCACCTCCTTCAACTCAGGCCAAATATCCCTCGAGTCTGATAACGGAATGTCGTCAGATTTGTCACTGTTGGATTCAGCCACACCATCGGTCAACACGAAGCCACCTTTTCAAAGCAGTGATTTGCCCCCACACTCGTAGAAAATCTCAATTGCATTTAACATAATTATCACGTGATCTTGTTGTCAAAGCATGATATACTTGTCATCATCTGACGTTTGTAATGTTGTTTGAGATTGGTGATAATTCCCTGGTCCATCAGATGGATCTTAGATGTTGTGTTGGGTGGCAGAAACACAAGTTTAATGTTCATGAGATTAGACAGATTTGGGTGGGCAGGGCACTCGTCAACAAACAAAACAATCTCACGCTTTTGTTTGGCCATGCTCTTATCTTGGTCTCGAATCAATGAATATTTCACCCATCATCCAAGCTTTTGTGTTGGCACGGTAGGTGACTGGCACGCCTTCCAACATTCTTAAAACAATGAGATTTCTGAGATTTACTACTCACAAGAAATTTCATTTTTTTCTGTGGCCGTCATATTGGCTGCTACTAACAGAGTTATTCTGTCCATGCCTCTGTTTGAAATGGTTGATCCATGCAGTGTTACAAGTGAAATCGTCATAGCCTAATTTCACTGCAAATTCGTCAGCTTTGGTTTGCAGTAATGGACCAGTAAGCAGAATGTTTTCTCTTCTCACAGCTTCAAGAGGGCGTCTTGTCGTCTTGGTGATTGGCAGCTTGTAACCTTTTCCCAGTGGGGCCAAAGTCAGTCGACATGCAGGATTCGAGAAGGGAATCTCTCTTCTTAATGATGTTACTCAATGTTGATTTGGAATGTCAAATTCCATTGTAATGTCTTTCTTAGCTTTTTTGCCTGCATCAACATCATTCATGATTCTAAATTTCGCATTTAGACTGATAGCTTTCCTCTTACAACTGGAAGGATGGGACAGCTGGGTTTTTTTCAGTGACATGCTCAGGCCTCTTGGATGAGGATGGCCTGTGTTCTGCATCCTGTGACTTGGATTGTCAATAGACGGTGGGTTTCTGGCATTTACGCCAATAGTAGATGAAGGCTTCCTCTGAGAGATGTGCACATCAGCAACAGTAGTGACCAGGCTTGCAGATTCCCTGGCAGTCGCAACAAAGTTCATGTGGATCACAAGATGAAAAAATGTGGCGACAAGGGCCAGGCGTTTAGTCTGATCATTCCCCATGGCATAAATGTTGATAATACATAAGAGGAATCGCTAACGAAAAAAGAAGGAAAAATCAATTCTCTTCTTCTCAAACTTGTCTCCACACATTGATGATGAGAAAAAAACCGATGTGGCATAAGGCGTCAGGTGATCAAACCACTTAGGTCAGGTTGCATGGGATTGCAGTGTGTGACCCATTTGTTTGAGTGATAACTATAGTAATGTAAGGGGTGTCCGGGCGAAATGTTTTTAGAGCCTGGAAACTTTGTTTTAGGACTTTTCCACACCAGGAAATGCATCCTGTGAGATAGCATAAGTTTAAACTTTCCATATCTTTAAGACAATTGAATACTCATCCTTTTAAACTCACCTTCATCGACTTAAACCTTTCTTGTGCCCTATATTTTGAGTGGAATTTATATGCCATTTGTAAGTGGACTATTATTAGTCCTGCCTTCAGTCACTGTGATTCTTTAGTATTAGAACCTATGAATAGGACTATTGTGCTCAAAGACCAAGGTAATATATCTGGGCCAATCTGGGATTCAAACGTGTGACCATGCTGTTGATCCTGTTACCTTGGGTTACAGGTCTGCATCAACATAAATGCTTAAGAAGAACAAAAATGGAAACAATAACATTGTTGGTATGTTATTCCCCATGACACTTTACTTGCTATGTTGAACAAATTATTTCTGAAAACAAACACAGGTTTGTTCATGTTGTTGTTATCCTCTTTCATCTCATGTGTCAAACAAATTAGTTTTGTTTGTTGTTTTGTTGTTTAACGCAGCACTCAGCAATATTCCAGCTATATGACGGCGGTCTGTAAATAATTGAGTCTGGACCAGACTGTCCAGTGATTGACATTACGAGCATCGATCCACGCAATTTAGATCGATGACATTAATCAACCAAGTCAGTGAGCCTGACCACCCGATCCCGTTAGTCACCTTTTACGACAAGCATGGGTTGCTGAAGACCTATTCTACTCCGGATCTTCACGGGTCCAAACCAATTGGAGTAATATACTACTCAAAAGAAGTTAAGGATTACCTAATTCTTTCATATTGGTAATGTTAATCTGTCATGGCATGAGAGATTAACTATTGTAATATGAAAGAATCAGGTGATCCTTAACTTCTTTTGAGTAGTATATATAGAGATGGCAACATCAAGCTATTAGCAAGAGAAAATTATGAGCATACTTTTCTTCTTGAGGTGAAACTTGAGCCCTGTTTCCTGTGACATGTCTGGGATACTGTCAGTGTCAGAGTCATTTCCCTTGTCATCCTCTCTTCGGTCTGGTGGTACTTCATTTTCCACGAGTTCTAAGGAATCTACTGACGTCGAAGTTGTTTTGTTTGGCTTTTTGCTAGAAATGTATTTAAAACAAATGTTAACACTCAATATAGATCTCGAGAGAATAGCATTCATAGCTCCAAAATACTGAATTAAAGGGACAGGACGTCGACCGTTCTGAAGCATTGTCTGTAAACAATAGCCGATAAACCTCAAGCTTACTCGGCTAGGCTCGCCTTACTCCGTGATAGCATTTTGTGCTTCAGTGACCATACTACGGATGTAGAATTATCACGTGACCAGATTTTTCTCTTGTTTGTAGCCAGTTTACTCTGCGCAGTGCTTGCGGTGTCGGCTTTGCTGTGCAGGGCTCTATTGTTTTGGTTTGAGAATTTTTAATCGGCCATGTTACGTCACACTTGGAAATGATTTCCTGCAACGCACTGTCCCTTTAAGGGCATGTGGAGGCTACTTTAATATTAAAATGTAAATGAAGCATTAGAAAACATACCAGATTTCAACAGAATTTCCATAATTTCTTTTATTTTTTCTTAGTTTGTTTACAACATTGTTGGCCTAAAGTTCAATGTAGGTGTTCAGAAAAATAAAATATTTTTCAACTTCCAGATTAATACTGCTGCTACTAAATGAAAAAAAAGAAAGTTTTAACATGGCAAGATTCTGAATGATAGATAATTGACTAGTTTGTCTTCTTAGAATACAGACTCATATATGTATCATTTACCATTTCTTCCAAAAAATGGTGATAAAATCTTGTGGTTTTTTTCAGCTAATTGTAAAACAGTCAGCCAAATTATTTTGGTTAAAAGTCTGATTCTTTCTGATTTCAGTTTTTGTGTCAGCCAGTGTTGTAAACCAATGCCTAATTTGAATATAATTTATATTTTGCACTCAACATAAGAAAAAGGGAAATATGGTTTCCCATCTTTAACAGACCTACTAATCTTTAACAGACCTACTGATCAATACTGTCAATATTTGATATATTTAACACTTAAAACTTATCCTCCCTAACATACTGCATTCCCTTCTGTTTCTTCAGAAACATGATTGGAATAAATTAGTTCCTGAACACAGTTGAAACTGCTCGCTCAAACACATCCTGCCCTCACCAGTCAACATCCACGTCAATGTCCTGTTTGAGAAAGCAGCAACGACCGCAGAAGATACGAGTGGGGAGGCAGCACCAGCTTGGGTAGGACCATTCGTGATGTAATGCAGGACAAGTATTAAATATAAAATGGATATTGATAAATTTTTACTTACCGGTAATCCTGCATCCGAACTCAGTTTTTTCTCCATCCCTCCGCAAAAGCTATGACTGTACAATTGACATGAAGAGCAATCATGGAGGCAAATGCCCAGATTTTGTGAGGGTTGCTGGCCTGGGGATGTTCTGACCCTGCTGCATCATAGGCAAGTTACTGAGGATAGTAGACAAAAGCCAAATGGTGATGGTATTCCTTTTGACCTTTCTGTACAGCTTTGTCTTTTCTGCGACTTCCGTGTAGATTTTGTGCCCTCAAGGTAGGTTCGTAAGGCTCGAACCTCACACAGGAGAAGCTCAGCTTCATTGTCCAATCCCACAATTGAGACCAGTGATAGCACTGTAAAACACCAGGTTGTCCTAGCAGCTGATTTTGGGCAATGAAATCCCAGTAATCCCCTAAATCGACTGCGCCATATTGGGCCTGTTTAAAATGACCTTTGAAGACATACAAGGCATGGATTTCACCAACCATGCCTCTGTCCCCAGTGCAATCAGAAAAATAACTTTTCTGGTGAGGTTCTCCAGTGATGCCCGGTCAAGTGGTTCATACTGCTGCTGACGCAAGTACTGTAGCACTACGTTCAGGTCCGAGGCTGGAGGACAAAATTTAAGTTTTTGGTCCTCTATACAGAAGGCACTGAGTATGGCCTGCAGTTGCAGGATCTTGTCGTGAAACTGCAAACACAGAATTAAAAGCTGGTAAATAAGTAGCAATTGTGCTACATTTCAGGTGATGTGTGCAAAGAAGATAGAGCAAGTAGTCCGCCATAAACTGCGGGGAAGCTGTCATAGGTCCCTTCTTCCGCTGCAAACAGTAAGTCTCAAATGACTTGTCATCATATAAACTTTGAGAAGAGATACGATGAACCCGAATAACTGTTTGTGCCACCTGCAAGGAGTAACCGATGTAGCACATTACTGTCGAGTTTTCGTTGGCAATCAGCACTTTGGCAGGACAAAGTAGATGCCTCCAGTTTGGATTCGCCAGTAAAACAGCCTCCATTTCCAGGATGTGCCGTGTTTTTAGTTTGTCTGACTGGTGCCCAGAGACAGTAGCTTTGATGAATAAATGTTGGGTACTTTGAACTCCTGCAAAGAAACTCCGCTCAAGATGTTAGATGAGATCGTCCATCACTGAAGAAACCAGTGGTAAATTCGGCATTACAGGATGAGGGATCCCCTGCCTCCTCGGTAAAGTAGTGGACACCAAGGCTTGCTGCAAGTGAGTCCTCATTATCTCCAATTGAGCAGCTTGCAAACTGACAACAGACTGCAAATGTTCCATCCGGTGACTGTTAGGTTGTACAAGGTCGCAGGAAATCATCGTCTGGGATGAAACCAACGCAGAAAATGGAACAAGAGCTGGTTGGGATCCATTCGTTCATGATCCCAGGGTGGCAAAGTCGTCATCAAGCGCCAGAGACATGTCCCGTGTAAACCTGTCCACTGGTTGGGATAGCCCATCCTCCACAGATAGCACCATCTGGGCGGTCGACCTCAGACCTAGAGGATGCAACAAGAAGCCAATTGGCTAGCCACTCTATGATGTCATAGTCAGCAAGGTGAATATCATCTGCCCCGTTATGTGGGCAGAAGAAGTCTTCTCATGAAGGAGAATGGTGAGGGCCGGAAGATCTGATAGATGATCGAACATCAAGACGATCATCATATGACCTGTCAGGCGTAGGAGGGAGAAATGACCTGGGTGCCTCTCATAAGACAAAGAGTGCCTCTCAGTTGGGTAAAGCTTTTCCAACGCCGAGCGCCTGTGTTGTTCAGAGAGCCTGTCCTACTCCGAGCATCTGTCTCGTCCAAGCGACTGTCACACTCTGAGTGCCTGTCATGCTTTTTATTACCCTTCCTGCTCTGAGCACCTGTCAGCCATTGTAGATGAGCTCCTGGCATGATGACAAGGAGTCAAACGCTGTACATCTGGAGTATCTGGTGCTGAGTTCCTTTCTGGAGTCTCAGGTGCTGGTCGCCGCTCCAGTGAGGCAGCCGGTAGGTGCCTCCAACTAACTGGAGAACTGCTTCTTCTCTGTTAACGCTCTTGACGGGCAGGAATAGTCTGGCGGGAACAGGCATGGCCAATTGAGACCTGTCATCTGGGATATGATACTCTGTAACATCTCTGGGGCGAGGCGTTCCGAGCTCAGAGGAGCTTGTGGGAAGCTGGGGACTGTGCATCTACACTCAAAGATGAAGGAGGGGGTAGAGAAGAATCTGCCATCATGGAACGACATTGTCAGTGTTGTTGCAGCTGCCTCTTCCAAACACACATGTAGATAAATGGATGAAGTTAGAAATACTCAAGGTTCGACAAACGTCAAATCTTGATAACAGTGTACGAGGCGGCTTACAACCGTGGCAGAGCTTGTGCGTCTCCTTAGCCGATATAGGTTTCAGCCACCCACGACAGCGAAGCATGTAATTTACAAAGATAGCAATCAAAACAAGTACAAAGAAAAGTCAAAATAACATAAACAATGTTAAACTGTACATAGTGGAAAGGCGACTGAAAACAGGGCCGAATTCACCAAGCCGTAACCGCCGAGGCTAACAACACACATCAAAGTGTATGTACATACGCTAAAAACACCTAAGAGGTACTAAATATGCATGTAAACCAACAAAAAAAATCCCGACAACATTGGTGGGAACAAAACATGCTACAAACTTGCAGAGTACTAGATGACAAAGGCACGTGAAGAGGAACAAACATGTATGTAAGAATACCAAAGTGAATAAACAAACCATCCTGAACGAAAACAAAAGTTTGATATCCACAACAAAGACAAAGGATAACGTTCACAGGCAATCTGCTTTCATCTGCGAAAACAAGAAGAGTGATGTGTGTGTTGACTGGTGCAGTGAGGGCAGGATGTGTTCAGGTAAGCAGTTTCAACTGTTTTCAGAAACAGGTTTTTTCTCAAGGGATGATGTTTCCAGTTATGTTTTTGAAGTGAATGAATATGTAATTCAGGATTAAGTAAAAATTAAACATCATTGCCTTTGATAAGCCTATATTACTAGCAAATAATACCAGCCATTAGTTGATGTCTCTAGGAAGCACCTATACATCCACACACCTGCCAATGCCCAGGCCCATTTCCTTGATCTTGGCCTCAACTTGCGACTCTAGTTTGGGCACCTTCTGCAGGGAATACTCAAGGATGAACGCTTCTAGGATGAACGCTGTGAAAATACTGGAACAAAGAACATGTCAGTAGTAAGCTTAGGTTACCATATTCAACAGCCATTAGCACCCCATGAGTCCATCATTACAGTGAATGGAACACAATCCTGATCCTGCAATGAAGTGTTTCTCACACAGACTGGTTTATGGCTGTACTTGCACTGCAAAACCTTAACTATGATGTTGGGCTATATTTCATTTTCAAAACAATAACAATGAATCTATTTATAGCCAATATCCCTGTTGGGATACCCTTTGGTTATAAACACATGATATCTTTTCATAATACACATATTTGGGACATGCTTTCCAATATAAACAAGGATTCACATAAAAAATAAACAAACTTGGAGATTTTGTAGATTGTAGACTTACTTGAGCACCAGCACAACACACGTGAGATGGAAGAGAAAGAAATAGATCCTGGCTGCCTTGTTGGTTACCAACACAAACCCTGATGTTAGCAGTGAGAGGGTTAAGGTCGTAAACACTGTCAGCACTCACACTACATTTAGACCTTTTATATACCAGTTGGCAACAGAATTTTTTCTCAAAACCTTAAATAAATATTTCAATTAGACCCTTTAAATTGCTTGTATTTTTTACATTGTTTGTTTGTTTATTTGTTTGGTTTTTAATGCAGCAATATACCAGCTATATCATGGCATCACGAACAATTGAATTTAGATCAGTGATTGACATGATGAGCATCGATGAGCATTGATGAGCATCGATCTACTCAATCAGGATACAATGACATGCATCAACCAAGTCAGGGAACCTGACCACCAGATGTCATTAGTAGAATGAGAAAATCTAAACTGCCAATAGCCACAGGAAAATCCCTGATGCCACTTAAAACTTGCTTGACAACTGCTAAAATTGTTTCTTAATAATGTTTCCGTTCACATATATGACACAATTATTACTTAGAGTCACTATTTGAACAAGCGTTGCTTACAAAATAATTTGAATGATGGTTGTTCATCAAACATCACATACAGCTTTGTTACCTCACCAAAAAGGATATCATGCCATTGATTGACTACTGTCAATTCAAACAGCAACACAATGGACTTGAGCAGATCGTTGAAGTTGTTGCTGCAGTATTGTGACTTGTAGAACAGGGAGCCCTTCAGAGCAGGGTTGCCACAATATCTGTGATTTTCCAGTTGCATTGACTCATTGTAGCCAAAGTATTGTATCTTGTTGTTGAAGATTTCCATACCAATAATGGCATAGAAGTAGTAGAACACCTGAAACAGGTAGAAGTATTCTTGTTTTATCATGATTTTTTTTTATAAATTTGATTTAGGCCAAAGAAGTAGTCAATTTAACTGTGCTGAAATGTTATTTGAAACCCCATGCTGCCCGGGGTTCCAGCATTCCAAATTCAATTTAGCATGATCAAATCTACGGATGACCTAACTGTAAATTGAAAACACAGCATGTATATCTCCAAATTGATTACTGGAAAGTGTTAAGGTCAATTCCACTTGTAACAAAGGCCATTTTCACAAACTGTCAGGTAGAACAACTGGTCTGGTAGGTAATACTGTCCAGTATAGCATGGGGAACTTACATTTTACGCAGTCAAATATTGAGAAGTCTAAACTTATTGTTTTTCTGTTGTCAATGTAAATTTATGCTAATAGCAAAAGATGCAAGAAAATTAGCAATAGAATGAATTTATATGTTCCTTGCCAAATACTTTAGCAGTATAGGGGGACATTTTCTTCTTTTTGCAGTACTAACCAGTATGACGCCGCCATAAGTCAGGATGGAAGGTCCGATGTTGACGATGGTCATAATGATGACTTTAAACCTGTCAGTGACACGTCAGAATACCAGTACACAATGATGAAGACACATACACACAGGAATACTTATGGAACAATAATGATATATGTGATTTGACAGATTAAATCAAACTGCTTGAGTTTTCAACAGATTGAATAAAGCATTGCAGGAACAAAGTCAAGGAACAAAATGGCATTAAAGTAAAAGAGAGCTGATTGACTGAATGGTGTTTGATGTCACAGTCATCCATGTTCCAGCAACATCAGCAGCCTGTAAAATAATCATGTCTGGGTATATCTTCCCGAGGCAAGGGAGTTAACTGATTCTAAAAGTCCAGTTTCCACCCTTGCCGAACTAGGTTGAAATTTATGGGCCCGATCGGAGCGCCACCAGTGGTTATTACGAGTTAGGTCCCTTCTTTGTCCCTCCTATTGACCAATCAGATTCCATCTCTCATATCACTTCCATTTGCTTAAAACAAAATGGCGGCACCCAGTCAGAATGATCTCATCGGTAATAAAGATCTTTATTGTAATAAAACAGGCTTTACCTCATGAAGTGCATCAATTCACTTGTGCTCCTTGATTAAACACATGAAAAGATTTGGAAAATATGTGTTGATGCCCAGCTGACGGTAAACACGTTCTGCAAATCCTGCAATTGAATGAACTTGGCACGGCAGTTGCCATGTTGTTTATGAACAGGATGCCAATATCCTGTTTATGACAGGAGTTTGATTGGACTATGCATAGACTCGTTTATTCCAGCCGAGTTCGGCAAGGGTGTAAACTCAACTTTTAAAGTCAGTTAACTCCCTTGCCTTGGGAAGATGGTCTGGGTCAGGCAAACCAGTGGTTGACAGTATGAGCAACAGACCATGCTGATAGGGGACAATGACAAACAAACAACCAGGGTGTAGTTTCACAAAGCGCTACAACTGTTGTAGGGTTATGGTGAAGTATGGAGGTATGATAATCTTAGTGCTAAGATTGCTTTGAGAAACAGGACCCTGATCTCACACTGTAACCACCCTATTATGTCAGCTCTATGACAAGCATGGGATATTTTCCCAGAATCCCGTTGTCTCTACTGTCTTGTCTATCAGCATAGGTGATGGACTCCTGTCTAAAATGCTTGGCTTTATTAGCTTTCATTAGTTCCACTCACCTCTGTATGCTGCCGAACAGTTTGATTAATCTCATCACACGGAGGACAAGGAGAACATCCAGTGTACGGAACTCATCTGACGCTGCAAAAGGAACATAGTGCTAGTGGTGTCACGATTCATTGATGTATCATTAGTTTACTTGGGGATGTGCAATCTCATTAAAATCAGAACTTAGTTTTCGCTACCGCTAACCAAAGATCTGAGGACATCCCATTACGGGTCACGTCAGAACGACCTTTCGCGAACATTGACCGACCAATGAAATGACTGACAAGAAATCGACATTTGCCAACCAGAAGGCAGCTATCTCGAGCTTTAAGTCACTAGTTTCACATTGGCGACTACGCTTCGAAACATATTTAACTGACCAAAACAACATTCTGGAATGGCTTATAGATGGCCTAGATTGTATGGATATAATCATAAAACCCGTAAATGTTGTTCAGAATACCCTCTGTTAAATATTTCGAGGTTGCATGACTAGAAAACACATTCAGACTGTCACTTTCATGATCTGGTACGCGACGCTCTGATTGGTTGGATGAAAGGTCGTGCTGATGTGACCAGTAATTGGATGTCCTCGGATCTTTGTTTAGCGGTAGCGAGAACTAAGATCTGACTTTAATGAGATTGTTACTTTCCTTTCCTCCATGAACAGCATTATCTTCAGATGGGTGAAAATTGGGTAGGCCTTAGAGGTGCTGTATCAGGATAAGTATACTAATATAAATATTCTAATTTATTGAAATTATTTCCTATCCTGATACAACATAGATAGATAGATTGCAGCTCAAGTGATTATGTCTACCTCTGTATATTACATTACATGTAATATTAACCACATCAAACCTAACTGTAACAAACTATTATGCCAATCTTAGCTTTTTGAATTCATCTCTGTATTTCTGAACTTTGCTGTAATTAACATTTGAATTGTTTAAAAAATCAGTAGATATAAATCTGTTGTCATGAAAAGTTGTTTTTTTTCTTATTTAAGATAATGAGTCAATCACAGAGACTGGTCAACCAATGCAAATTAGTACCCAATTTTCATGAGCAACAGTGTGCTAGGGGCTAGGGCTGCTCGGGTCGGGTGGGTCCTGAGTAGGACCCGGGTACCCACAGGACTACCCGGACCCGTGGTTAGTTACTTGATATATTGTTTAAAGGCAATAACAGTCAAACTCCATGGTTCCACAAGTCGCATTTCTTTCTGACTATATATGCACACATTCCTTCTGCCTTTCCTATGTTTGAGTAAAGATAAAGCTTCTGTCAACTTCAGTGTGTGCATGATCAGATCGTTTTTGAGTGTTTCTAAGTAGTTTTTGCCAGGGCTCCAGTAAAACAACTTTCAATCTGACATTGTGTACTCAACTTGTGACCTACAATTGGTACAAGGGTTGGGTCACATAATAGGGGATCCGGGACCAGGGACCTGTTTCACTCTTACGACTGTTCTTAGATTAACATCTAGTCTCTGAAATGAACATATCGTACAGAAAAAAAAAGTTGTTCAGTTATCTTAATAAAAATATAATAAAAAGGAGCCCAGTGATCCTCTTCATTTTCAGATACTGCAGTGATCTAGACTTGCCAAACATTATAGACTTGCATGGGCTGTATTTGATATATATTTGTATCAGGGTCTGTAAGACAGACTAGACTGTTGTAAGTCTATGTTAAACTAAGAGAGTTACAACAGTCCTAGCGTTATGATCACTTTGTGAAACGGGTACCTGGGAAGTACATTTGGAGCCGTCCCTGCCCGACTCGGGGCCTGATCTAACACATGTACAGGTCCCCAAAGGGATTATTTAGTTGTTTGTTTGTTGTCTAACGCCGCACTCAAGAATTTCCTCATGTACCTGAATGTATTATTGCTTGAAGGCTTGGAAAAATTTGGCAATCAATATAGATTTCTAAAAGTCAGAATAATGTTTTTATTTGAAGATCTAAACATCAGGACAGATAGGTACAACTTACATGTAAAAAGACACAACCTGTGAAACGGAATTAAACATCTAATAGATTTAAATGTACAGTATTTTTGCTTACGGTCATAGTTTTAGAACTTAAAAAAAGTAACATGGAATTGTAGATAACTGTCAGAGTATCGCCTGACTATATGTTCTGATGTAGTTTTTTCTGAAGGGTGTCAGATCTACTGACAGCAATGCTCAATAAATCAATGCATTTTATGTATGGATATCTCTTGTCCATGAGTGTTTCACCTTGTGACAGGTATCCTGTCTTCTCTAGTAAAACACCATATATACACTTACGTTGAACAATTACATCAGTTAGATAACAATACTCAATCAATCAGTGTATTATGAATTTATCTTTTGAACACTGTTTTTACAACATGTATGTAGGTTGCGTACACCCAGTGTTGGGTGTGTACTGTCTGCTCTGGTAACACTGCATATGTACTCTTATGTTGAACAAATCAATGAGTTTAATTATCTTTTTTCAGTTCAAAAGAAACTGTCCCACCTGTTACCAGGCTGAACATATTATCAATGTTATCAGATCCCTCTCTCTGTACCCAGTCCCGGTAACTCCACTCTTTTGGGTAACATGACATTTGTGCTTTCTGGGTTTGCAGTGGTGGATTAATTTTTGAGTTTGGATTCAGATTAAGATTTTATTTTAAAAAAAGGTCTTGAAGATTTGAGTGACTGAGTACTCTTTACGTGTGTCCCTTACGTCCACCCCATTTTGACAGTTTTTATGATTTATAATGAGTCTTCGTACAGCCTTTATCATACAATGTGTTTTTCTCACAAACATTTTGAATTAAATGTGTCAAAACATCATCTAAAGTCAAATACTCCCCTCCTGTTGCTGTCCGGCTGTTACCATGAAAAAAGTAACACTGGGGAGCTCAGTGGTAACAGAAGGGACATTTTTCACAATGAATACATTTTATTTATTTGAATATTTTATGTCGAAGTAGAAAATGTTGTGACAAAGACATTATTTCACATGTATTTTATACCTACGGTGGCCCATACCTGCCACTGGTAAGATCATTTCCCCCTGTAAACCTCTATATTTTATCTCACTAGTGGAAGTATCTGGCTGGCGCCAGATAAAACATAGAGGCACACAGTGAAAAATGATCTCACCAGTGGCGGGTATGGGCCACTGTATATACCTACTTTATTTGCATTTTGTTTTAAAAAAATAACCTTGTCTGTAACAAAAGGAACATCAATGTTTCTTAAAAACGACTACCCCGGTATGTTGAAAAGAACATTACGTTATAGGAAGATCCATACTTTAATTAAATGGTATCACATAAATTTTGGTGTTGCCATTTTCCGACTAGTCATTATTTTTTCAAAGCTTAATAATGTATGAAGAAAGAGGTTTTAGAGCTGCATTTCAGTGATTTCATCATTTCTTACTCTTTTATGTGGTGTATCGTGATACCAGTAGTATCATCAGTCCGTATCATGATACAAATCGTATCACAAGATACCAGGTGATACTCAGCTCTAGAAAGCAGTTCGTAAGCACTTGTGCTATGAGCTCAATTCTCTATGGAGCTCTCAAACATAGTTGCCAGTATTTAAAAATAAAAAACAAAATAAACCTAGTTACCTACCCTCTTTTTAATTAAAAGTTTAAAACAAAAACAACTCTTTACAACAATGCAGGAACAAATGTGTCTAACATTAACTTTAAATCTGTTCAGTACACAATCAAATTCTAAAGCAGCCCTTTCTCTAACTAGAAAAGAATTAAAAGCCAGCTTACATGCTCCGATAATCACCTCCACAGCAGAAGCTATCACACAGGCAGCTATCACAAAAAAATCAAATCTAAAACATAAAATGAAAAGCAATATATCTTTAATTGTGTGTTCATATTGTCATGAATTAACATTTATGATATTAAATTAATGAATTTGAAAAAAGTATTTTTGTTATTTTCAGAACGCTCTTTACTTATCCATCATGACAATTTGATTAAATTTGATTTAGAAATACAAAAGGCATCAAAAATATAACTTTGAAAAATTACAGAATTATGGAATCATTACATGTACTGAGAATTGTATCCCTTTCTTACATATTCCAGAAGCGCAAGAAAAACTCTTTGGCACCAAATGTATAGAGTTTCAGAAATATTTCCGCCATGAACATCGACAGGAAGAACCAGTCCGCATCATCAATGTCAAAGGCGATGAAGAAAGCATTGACGAAAATCAGAAAATCAAAAGAATAACGGAAAAATCTGAAAAGAAAAAAGGATATCAAATGTCTAGAAGGTGACACCTATATAAAATCCCCAAAAATAAAATCTCTGAATCCTGACGCCTCCGAGAATATTATCAAGTAGATGCTACAAAACCAATTGTCCTTCAAATAATGAAAAAAAAAAAATTAAATCAATATTTATATAATTAATGGCATGAACAGATTGGACAGGTCTTCTTTTTGTAGGAACCTAACTCTTGATTGCTCTTTTCTAGATAATTTATTTTTCTTTATTCTGTTCTGTGATGAGACACAAAAAACAAATTCTGACTGGAAGGATGACATCATCATTTGGAGACAGGAACGTTTTAAACTTGATTTGCAGAGTTTCTTAAAACTACAGGTTTGGTAGTCAGGGAAAATAATATGATCTCTTAAAAGTGTGTTTGGTTGGGTGAAATAGTGTAGTAAGTCAACGAGTTATGCCAACTTCCATATCAATACATGTCTAACATTTTGTAAATACTGAAATCGGAAGGATAAAAAAAATACTAATCTTAAATTTGAACTTTATTCAACATTTGTGAAGGTTTGGAGTGAAGCCATAAACCTAAGCTGCCATATATACTATACTTGTGTCTGACGACCATCTTCAGCATCACACTGGCGTAGGAGTTATAGACTTTAGGGAAATATTTCTCTATCAAAGTCTGTCTGTCCTTGACCTCGCTGAGCTCCACCTGAAGAAGGTCAGCCAGTCCCATGAAGTGCTTCTTACCTGTAAATAGCAGATTTCTTTCCTATCATATTTCCTTCATTCATTTCCATAGGTGAATTTGTGTTTCCATATGATAAATTAAAAATATTTTGCCCCTCAATCACTTCTTAAACTAAAGTATAATTTATCATCTACCTTAACACAATCCAGAATCATGTGTTGGTGTTTTGTGCTCTCTCTAAAATATGAAAATCCTTCCAATTCGTTCCCTTCCTCAGTCTGGTTCTTGGTTGGTTTTGCTTTGCATCACATTTATGGTGTGTCTACACAGACTCTTGTCATGATCACTTGTGATGATTTATATTCACCTGACTATCATATTAGAATTTGGCATTAGGTTTATTTTATTTATTTATTTATTTTTTTGTTTAACACCGCACTTAGCAATATTCCAGCTATATGACGGCGGTCTGTAAATAATCGAGTCTGGACCAGACAATCCAGTGATTAATATCATGAGCATCGATCCGCGCAATTGGGATCGATGACATGCATCAACCAAGTCAGCAAGCCTGACCACCCAATCCCGTTAGTCGCCTTTTACGACAAGTATAGTCGCCTTTTACGGCAAGCATGGGTTGCTGAAGACCTATTCTACCCCGGAACTTCACGGGTCGGCATAAGGTTTAAAGGATATATCTGACTTCCTTCATCCATAGACCCTGAGGCCCCCTGAGGCATCACTCACGTATACATTGGTTGCCCCCGACATCTAGTACCCTCATCATGACCTCGAGGTGTGCGGCACTCTTGGTGGGTAGCACGATCCCCATCAGTTTGATCCAGCATGCCTTGGTTATTACATACTCTCCACTCTGACGCACTTTCAGCAGCTCAAATGCTTTGGCCAACCGACGCCGTTTGCCATAAACTGACATGCGTACCTCATTCTGAAATATATTTTGGGATCACAGGTGCATACAAGTGCTGGTTGTATGCAACTTATCTGGCATCGCGCATCTACCTGCATTGTTTGTTTGTTATTTAATGGTCTGTAAATAATCAAGTTTGGACCAGGCAATGCAGAAACTGACATCATGAGAATCGATCTACCCAATTGGGATACAAAGACATGCATCAACCAAGTCAGCAATTCTGACCATCGGATCCTTTTAGTTGCCTCTTAGAACTGTTGTTGAAGACCTGGATCTTCAGAGAGGAATTATTTAGATGACATAACTGACAGCAACATAAGACACCATAAGGGATTTACCCATATATTTGCGAGTCCTAGAGACTCTATGTACCGTATTTTCTTGAGTATAGTGCGCACCCATGTATAATGCGCACCCCCCTCTAGCGGGTTCAATATTTTGGAAAAAAAGAAATTTGAATATTATGAGCAGAAAAAAATTACACCGTACGCCTTCAGCCAAGTCCGGCAACAAACGGGTGATGAGAAACTTCGTCAGTACAAATTTGAAATTTGAGATAAAAAATCACCAGACATGTTGATTTACCGTTTAAATTGTATTTTTTGTTCAGCTAGGCATTGTTTTATATCCAGGGATTAAGATTACCTTGTGTATTTTCTCGTAAACTAAGCCGGACACAGCAATCAGCTGTACACACGTTTTCTTGGAATCTACTGGTGATTTGGTCAAGACACACCCAATGATATAACTTTACAGGATTTTAATGCAAGGATCGGCAAAAGTTGTATCTGAAACTATTTTTTTATCAGGAATAATATATTCCAATATCTTGTTAATTTAGATGCAGCTTTAACTAAACATATTTAAAATAATAATAACCCTAAGCGAAGCAGCTCATCGCTATTGCCAGGTATTAAATTTTTACATGGAACCAGTCTGACCAGTCACCGTCAAGGCTCCTGTGCACGTGATCACGTGATTGCGAGAATAACGTGTTGACATAGAATCGTCCAACAAAAACAAATATGACTTTTAACGAATCAAAGTATGGCATTTATTATGATATATGTATCCATTCTCTGTCAACTAAAGTTCGTTTCAAGGCGTCAATAGCAGTAATCTGACCGTGGTTGCTGTTAATAATGGTGAGTTGTGTGATCTTCCGATCGCTTCACACGTGATTTCGCTGAAATTTATTAAAACAATATTAAAAGGAATTTTGAATAGAATTAATGAAATAAGTTACAAACATAAGTCCAGATATACAAAGAACACTTTTTATAGCCAGACAGTGTAATTACATGAATAATTTGCGAACTTCAGTATGGATTTGTTGACATGGTATTTCCGGTGTTACAGGCTCACGGTAATGTCTTTCCATGGGGGAAAAAACATCAAAACTCATTAATTTGTGTATAATGCGCACCCCCATCTACACAGCTGTGTTTTTTGGAAAAAAAGTGCGCACTATACTCAAGAAAATATGGTAATACATCTGGGGTCCTAGATATTAAATAGGGGCCATATTGTAACATGGACATGAGACTAGCAATATCAGATAAATCTGACGTACATGCTTCAATTTATCAGTTTGAACTATTCCAACATCCATATCCTTTTGTGTACAATGGGACTTGCAGTAGGGATTGTTTGCATCCAGCGTTAATTTTTTGGGGGCTTGTTAAACCTGCAACACTGACTGTGTGCTGGCTGAAGGGTGTTGAGCCCACCTTAAGGTTCTTCTTGTAGTTGTTGTAGATGGCTGCCAGGACGATGCTCATGAAGATGTAGAGGCAGATGATGAGGTAGATGATGAAGAACACTGCGAAGAAGTTGTTGTAGTCATAGGCTGGCATCCTGCACATATAGGACAGGCAAGATTAGTGGACTCTTTGAGTTGAGTTGAGTTGAGTGCGTGTGCCCGCTTATACAAGTCAAGACTAATGCCGTTTTTTGCTGAGCTGAGCTGAGCTGAGCTGAGCTGAGCTGAGCTGAGCTGAGCTGAGCTGAGCTGAGCTGAGCGTGTGTGTGTGTGTGTGTGCGCGCGCGCGTGTGCGTGTGCGTGTGCATGTGTGTCTGCGTGTGTGTGCGTGTGCCCGCTTGTACAAGTCAAGACTAATGCCGTTTTTTACTGATAGTCCACTGCTTAATACTCCACTCAGAGACAGTAAACTGACTGACAACTAACCAGTTTTTGCCTTATCCTGTTATCTGACTACCGGGTTAGTGACTGAGTGGGACTGTCAGGTACTCACATGACATCAGGGTTGTTGGCGGTTGTGACGAGAACATACAGATCCCACACACAGTCAAAGTAGTTCTTAAAGTAAGCATCTCCGTTAGGATAAACCAGGTTCTTCCTGAAAATATGACGTGTACATTCAATGTTCGAAATAACTCAAATCTACCAGGCCACCATCAGGACCCACAGACGTTAGTAGCTGCAGGCCCTGACTAAACCCTTCACACCCTCATTTAAAAAACTGCAGCTGATTGTGACAAATACATAGACACATATATGAACTAGAGGCCATAAGGACACAGACATCCTCTAAACTACAGGCTTGACATAACATCTACCTGCCACGGGCCTATGGGCAGGCGCTTATTTTGAACACTGTGTACATTGTGTATGAGGTTTATTCATATGGTCTGATAGAATGGGTTAAAATAAATCCACCACCAATACCACCACCACCAATACCACCACAACCACCACCACCAATACCACCACCACCAATACCACTAATGCCACTACCACCAATACCACCACCACCAATACCACCACCACCACCAATACCACCAATACCACCACAACCACCACCACTAATGCCACTACCACCAATACCACTACCACCAATACCCCCACCACCAATACCCCCACCACCACCACCACCAATACCACCACCACCAATACCACAACAACCACCATCACCAGCACCACAAACAAAAACAACAAATTTCAAGTAGACAGTACTTCTTCTCTGCTGTTAATGATTGCATAGGAGTATGATGTTATTTGTGAGTACATCATATAGAATATACAAAATGTGTGTAAAAAATTCAACTATTTCCTTCAAAGTTAAATGAGGAATTCTAACTGACACTCATTTTTAAATAATGATGACACACAGACACACATGGCTTATTGATCTGTGTTGTTGCTGAACATGCTATCTCTGTACAAAGATCCCTTGTTACCTTTCATTGGCAATTAGCAAAAACTCATAGATGAGTGAAAGAATATATATCAGGATTTCTTTGATGCTTGAGTTAGATAATGATTTGCTTGAAGAATCTCATCTGGAATAATCTTTAGCAAATGGTCTGTGTTACATGGACTTTTAAACCATTATGACAACATCATGCTACTGTTATTGCATTTGATTCAAAGCCAGGAATTCACTGGCCATTCTGAACCTGCATTTTAACAAGAAAACTGATGCAGGTAGAGGTCTAAATTCATAATTATAGGGAAAGTATATATAAACTATAACATGGTATAAATCTGGGAAATCACTTGAATCTGTTGATTCCGGAAGAAGAATGAACAGATTCTCATGATTTCTCCATTAAAGAATCAATCCTGGACGCACCTCTTGTAGAACAGTTTCAGAGCCAGCAGAGCGAAGAGAAACACGCTGAGGATGAACAGGACCAGCACGTTGAGGATGTCTGGCACAGTTCGTCGGATGTTGCGAAAAGCTCGACGGATCTGTTGAAATTAATGTGACAACTGTGAGAGGGTGAATCTGGTTTAACGCCGCTTTGAACATTATTCTAGTTACATCACAGCATGTCAGCTTCATAGGGGATGCAGGTTTTCATTTTGGTGAAGCCCATGAGCACTGGTATGGTGAGGACAAACCTAGAAACAGAATCAAACCAACCGGGATTCAAACCTTGATAATAGGTTTCTGGCGTGCCCAAGGGACATAACTCTGGCAGCGAACTGTGATGCTTTAGATGACTGTGCCACTCCATCTTCCCTTAGGCAAGAGAGTTAACTGACTATAAAAGTCCAGTTTCCACCCTTGCCGAACTAGGCTGGTATTATGGAGTTACATACAACGAGTCTATGCATTGTCCAATCAAATTTGCGCACCAAAATCGAAATCCGGTTCGTAAACTGTCATGCAGATTTCCGTGGATTGCAGGATTTGCAAAGCATGTGCACCGCCAACTCATTGTCAGCAGATATTTTCCAAATCTTTTCATGTTTTTTTATCAAGGTGCTCATGTGATTTGATGCATTTCGCGATATAGATCTTGATTATTGATCAGATCGTTTGGACTGAGCGCCATCATTTTGTGTGAAGCAAACGCCAGTTATACGAGAGGTGGAATCTGATTGGTCCATAGGAGAGGCTTAGAAAGGGACATAACTGGTAATAGCCAGTGGTGGCGCTACGATCGAGCCCAGTAATTCCAGCCTATTTCAGCAAGGGAAGAAACTGGACTTTTATAGTCAGTTAACTCTCTTGCCTTCGGAAGATGGTGCCACTCATGTCCCTGTGACAACTATAATCCTGGTAATTTTGTATCATGATCACAGTTCACTCTGATTATATCATGTTATTGCAAGTGATGAATATGTAAAGACAATCTCATTAAAATCAGATCTAAGTTCTCGCTGCCGCTAAACAAAGACCCGAGGACATCCCATTACGGGTCACGTCAAAACGACTTTTCGCGAACTTTGACTGACCACTGAATAACAAACATTCTGGAATGTCTCATATATGGTTGAGAATGTATGCAGTGCTTCCCATGTACTGTGCAACAACTCCTCCGTTCAAAAGCTTATCCCACAGAAGCGAGAGAATGACTATGATTTTGATGGAATCAGTCGTACGGGCTGTAACTGTCGTTCGGAATACCCCGTGTTAACGTTTTCGAGGTTGCATGATTAGAAAACACATTCCAGCTGTCACTTTCATAATATGGTAAGCGACGCTCTGATTGGTCGGATGAAAGGTCGTTCTGACGTGACCCGTAATGGTATGTCCTCAGATCTTTGTTTAGCGGTAGCAAGAACTAAGATATGATTTTAATGAGATTGATGTAAAGACAATTTAAAGATGGCTTGCATGGATCTATCTGTCCATCTGTTCCATCATCAGCTTTAAATATGGTATGAATACTTCAAATGAGAAGTGCCCTTTTTCCCAAATCCCAAATTTGAAAAACAAAGCACCTGGCTTGCCAGAACGGTTACATTTAATGTACATGAAGTGTGATTAATATTGATCAGAACATACTCGATTTAGTCGTTTACTTCAGCATTCTACTAAGAAACAGGTTCAGGTCACAGAAGCACATGACATCATCAATTGTATCATGCATCATAGCATTCCAGAGTGACATCATGCCTGTCTCACAGCTGTGAGACTTTACATAGAAAGAGAAAGATCTGATAACTCTTGTATTTTACAATGTCAATGAGATTAGGCTAAAAAAAAATAATAGTCTTGGTTCTCAGGCACTGCCAACATCATAATAAAGTTTGTTTGTTTCATTTCTTATTTCCATTTAAAAAATATATAAAAAATCCTTAAATATTCCAAGTCTAACGGTATTCAAATACTGTATTCCAGTATTTTACTCATCAAGGAATACATTTATGAAGGGAGGCCTTTTCCCAGGTTGATTGTACACAACTGTTTATTTTGTTACACAACTGTTTATTTGGTTACATACTAGTTTGAACGCGCCCCCCCCCCCAAAAAAAGACACCGTCCTCCCGCGCTATATTTTAAAAAAACATTGCCTGAGAACCAATTCTTTTATTTTCTAAGGCCTAATGCGTCTTCAGATTTGTGGAAGTTATTGACTATTTGATGCTAGCATTCGAGGTATCAAATACTCAATAACACCCCCGAACCTGAAAACACATTCTTTTTATCTCATGACAGCACAAAAATACCATATCCTGGCATGCAATAACACAACTGGTTCTGTTATAACATGTTGACCCCTTGCATCATATTGTGACTTATAGAGACATCACATTAGTCCTGGAATGTGAGAGCAGAAGACCTCATCTTACCTGCTTCCCGTCTGAGAAGTTTACAATGAAGAATGGCCTGAGCGACCTTGACCACCGAATGGCACGGGTGGGTGGAGTGACCAGGTTTTGCCACACAATAAAACAGATTATATCTAGCATGGTGAGCTGGAAAAAATAAGAAGAATATCTTCATAAAGGTGATATTTACAACTTGTTTTATAGCAGCATTTAACAAAATATGATATGCCAAAGGAGAGGCACAGGCCACCAAACTGTGGATGCCCGTGCATATAATAAAACACAAGATTAGATTGGATTAAATGGCTGAGGGTGTGCGGGTACTAGTGGGCTGAAAAAGCTACCATTGCCAAAAACAGCTACCGCTGCCCGGCCCCAGGTAGCCGGCCAAAGCAGCTACCACTGCCTGGCCCAATTAGTAAAACCATTGTAGCTACTACCGTTGACCTGACGACTCCTGTCACCGGGCCAATATACCTGGCAATTGGTTGCCCAACGTAAGCTAGCAGGGTAGCCCACAAGGTATAACATATAGGCTTAGAAATATCACTGCTACACAAAGGAAACTCACAGCTGTACACTAGAAACTCACCATAATACAAGCGAAAGTCACCATATTACAGGGGAAACCATCTTCCTGAGGCAAGGGAGTTACCTGACTGTAAGAGTCCAGTTTCCACCCTTGCCAAACTAGGCTGGAATTTCTGGGCTCAATCATAGCACCACCAGTTTCTATTAGGAGTTATGTCTCTTCTATGTCCCTCCTATTGACCAATCTGATTCCACCACTCATATCATTTGCATTTGCTTCAAACAAAATGGCGCCGCCCAGTGAAGACGATTTGATCGATAATCAAAATTTTCATTGTAATAAAATGAGTCTTACTTTGTGAAGTGCATCTAATCACGCGAGCACCTTGATTAAAAAAATGAAAATATTGGGAATATATATGTTGACACTAAATTGAGGGTGCAAATGCTTTGCAAATCCTGCAATTCACTGAAATTTGCACAGTAGTTTACATACCGGATATCGATTTTGTTACACGATTTTGATTGGACTATGCATAGACTCGTTAGTCCAGCCAAAATGAAACTCCATAATTCCAGCCTGGTCTGGCAAGGGTGGAAAATGGACATTTATAGTCAGTTAACTCCCTTGCCTCGGGAAGATGAGGAGAAACTCACCACAAGATAGGAGAAACTCATCACAAGGAAGGAGAAACTCACCGCTACACAAGTGAAACTCACCGCTACACAAGTGAAACTCACCACTACACAAATGAAACTCACCACTACACAAGTGAAACTCACTGCTACACAAGTGAAACTCACTGCTACACAAGTGAAACTCACCACTACACAAGTGAAACTCACCACTACACAAGTGAAACTCACTGCTACACAAGTGAAACTCACCACTACACAAGTGAAACTCACCACAATACAACCGATGACCATGATGTTCTTGGTATCCTTCCAGAACTTGTTTGTGACATAGGCGCAATGGCAGATACGAAAAGTGAAGTATGCCATACAGAGACCCTCGACGATCATTGTAGCCTGCAACAAACACCAGCTGTAAGAAGGATCACAGAACAATGATGAAATCCAACCATAGCATAAAATGAACATCCAGATAGTCACATTACTATACAATGTCACAATATTAGAGCATATATGAAATATTCAACACTAAATATATATACCTACTACTCAAGCGAAGTTACTATAGTTAATCTGACCTGTCATAGGTATTAACTAACTTCTTTTGAGTAGCATATATAAAGGTTACTAAAAGTCAATCCTGCAATAATTTGTACTCAGAATAATTATTTTTGACGAAATATTAAATTTATTGCCATGTACATTTTTCAAATTTGGGATCTAGACTCCCTGAAAGAATGATATATGTTTTTTAAAAGGCGAGGATGAGTGAGTGAATGTTTTATATTTAGATATATGTATATAACAGCAACCTGGAAAAAATCAACCCGAGGTTAATAGTATAAGCAACGATTGATTTAAGTCTATGTTAGAGTATGGGAGTTACAATCATCATTATGTTAAAAGTGCTTTGTGGAATCTGGCCCAGGAAGTAGGGCTGGGATGGGTAGCTCGGGTACTAGGGTCGGGTGGGTCCTGAGTAGGACCCGGGTACCCACAGGACTACCTGGCCACATGGTTAGTCATGTGATATATCGCTTAATGACAACACAATAAAACTCTATGGGTTACACAACAAGTCGCTAATGTTCGCATTTCTTTCTGACTATGCACTCATTCCTTCTCACTTTTATGTTTGAGCAAGTAAAGCAAAGTTTCAGTCAACTTCAGTGTATGCATGATCAGATTGTTTTACAAGTGTATCTGAATAGCTTTCACCAGGGCTCAGGTAAAACAATTCCCAATTGGATATTTGGTGGGTACCCACAGTGGGTACCCTGTAGGGTTGGATGATATGGGGTTGGGTACCCGGGTAGTAAATTTGGACTCATCCCATCCCCACCTGGAAGAATGTTTGTTTGCTCCAATGGAGATAATGGAACACAATACTGTGGGTGTGTTTCAGTGACCCTGTGGGTTTTAATATCAATATTTCAATATTTGTGGGAAGATACACCGATGCATAGATGGATCGCGATTTTTTACTTCTCGATACAAGTACAGTCGCACATTTAGTAAAAATTATCAATATTCTTACCTTATGTATTCTTTAATAAATGTCATACCAAACACTAATTTCTAGTGAAAATGAGTAGTGAAAACGTAAATATTTTCATCCATTGCACCATACATGACACTGCAAACTGTAAATCGTTAGTGTGCCAACTATTTGGCCATCCTGTCTATGAAAAAGATGGCTCACACATCACAGATAAGAGCACATGCAAGTATCATGGTACGTATGGAATCGTGAGCAAGGTATTGTGATATGTATCGGATCACACAGTTGGTGTATCGTCCCAGCCCTAACTCTCACCCAGTACGGCGCCAGCCAGCCAGGGACAGCAGGGTGTTCTACCAGGGCAAGGGCAAGGTCAATGATGATGAAGAAGTACAGCAGCCATCGCAAGTAGAACTTGTGGTACAATATATACGCTCTGAAATTTCACAAACATTGGCAAATAATATATTATCATCAATATTACAAATTTATATTTATACTTCAGGGTGCCGTCGTACAATGGGATCTTAGAGGTAAGGTGTTTGTAACTCCAGACCTTAATATAGTATTAGGACAGTCACAATACTAAGGCGGTTTTGTACAAGGACACCCTTTTACTTACTTCAAGTTACATAAGTTAACTATTAACATGTCATATTTCATGAACATCTCTTACTTAACATAACGCCGCACTCAGCAATATTCCAGCTATATGATGGCGGTCTGTAAATAATCGAGTCTGGACCAGACAATCCAGTGATTGACATCATGAGCATTAATCCAGGCAATTGAGATAGATGACATGTATCAATCAAGTCTGCGTGCCTGACCACCCGATCCTGTTGGTCGCCTCTTACGACAAGCATAGTCGCCATTTACGCCAAGCATGGGTTGCTGAAGACCTATTCTACCCCGGATCTTCACGGGTCATAAACAGTGTTGTAGCTAATTAACAGTATTAAACAGGCAAAGATATCACACAGACATTTAAACCGGTTGTATATCAAGGTTGAATAATGTTGGACAGATCAATGCAGAAAGTTCAGTTGAGTATGTAGTTGCCTGTTGGTGTGGACTGAGTTGACTGTCTGGAGTAAAACAATGTTTTCTGATTTGCGAAGTTCCAGTGGGCCCAAAAACTGATTTTTTAAAAATTTTAATGACCTAGTTCATTCTGAAATATTTTGTTCCCCTCAACAATTGTCCCAAGGGTATATTCGGATTAATGAAAACTGAACTAGATTAGGGTCTACATTAACAGGATATATACCAGGTATCCATCTGTCTTCAGTCTGTACATAATTACTTACTTCACATGATTGTGGTCAGTTTTGAATTCCATGTTCCGACCTCGTTTGGCATCTAACACAAGTGTCCCTGCAAGCAACAATTTCTGAAAACAAAATGATGTATCATTAAAAATAATACTTCAACAATACTTCTTCTAAAAAATGTTCTTGAGCATTTGCTAAATAAACACATGACATAAATTTTTAATCGTGAACTAGAATGCATTTATTAATTCACTATTATGTAACTATACTCTTGTTAAAAGATCATTGTTAATTCAGTTCATGAAAAATGGTAAATCTGGTTAAGTAATGTGCAATTACAAGAAACTGAAGTTCTGATTAAAACAACGAAATTGTGTGCCTATTCTACTATCAAATAAGCCTCTCAATACTGATAAGACAATGAATTTGTTTGTCTTTTCATGGTCAAACACCGCTCTATATATACTGCTTAAAGGGGCACTAATCTCTGGCTTCTTCTCGGCTGTCTGACACTGGCCGCTCAGGCTCGCTAGATGCCGTGAGTCGATTTGCTCGCTAACGCAACTGAGCGTGACAAGAGACTGGACTACCGTCTGTAAAGACAGCGTAAATAAACTTGGAGGCAATATTTGTTTTACGCATTTCTGAACACTGATTGGTTACCCGTGATCTATGAAGATCAAAGGGCGCATGTTAATTAATTTCTTCAGCCTAAACAAACTGACAAAAAGAACGGCGGAAGCTCATCGGGTGTCATCATTTGGAAATACCCCTGATGGTTATAGTTTAATAATAAAAAAAGTTCCCTGCAGTGAAAGCATTTTTGGATTTCGGATTGCGTGGATAATACGATTACGACTCCCTTGTTGTCATCCGCGTTTTCTGGTACAACCCTACACATGTTGATTTGTCCTCATTCACTTGGTGCTCAGATTACCTGCTGAAGGTTCCCATTTGGCATTTCTTGTGTCTGGGGTAATTATTCATCTAAGTCCAGGTTTGAAGTGAGGTGAAATGTGTGTTATGTAATATGCACGTGGCAGCCCAGCAAGAGATGAAAGATCAGTTGATTTACTTTTTTTGTAAATCAATGGATCATACCTAGCCATCAAAGGATCAACAGCAAATATGTTGATTGATTAATCACTGTTATCTCACACAGTGGATATGTCAAAAGTAAGTGCTTATATGTGTTGGTTTACTAAAGCAAAGGGAATACACTCATATCATGGCGTGAAGTGCCGATGTAATAACAACATACTTTGTTCCATTTTAGGGTTAACCGATAATACGGTGATTGATTGCTCATTGTTATCTAACTGAGTGGATTTTTTTAAAGAACCGTAGACATTAGGAAAATAGTTGTCACGTGGGCTTTCTCAGCTAACCTTTGAGACTTGACACCTATGTGAAACACCTAAAAAAAACCTAAGTGATCAGTTGACAGATGGACATATTTTCCAGTCAATTTGTAAAATAACTAAATATTTAGGCATTTAATACATTTCCTAAGTGAAAATTTTGCACATTTTGACTCTAAAAATATAAACACGATAAAATAAGCAATGCTCAGGTGAAATATTTACTTTGTGTTGCAAGTGAAAATAGTGTAAACGAAAATCACACAATTACCAAGCAAGTGACTTATAAAACTTCTTCAATATTACTTATGCTACCCACAAAGATACCTACATTTCCTTATTATTTCCAAAACTGTTTTTCATTTTGTTGACCATATGCTCTTATACTATCAATAAAAGTGACAAATGTGCTTACGAATGGCAGAGCACAGGTCGCGAACTAGTCTAGATTTCTGCTATATCATTCTGGTATTCACGGGAGAAAAACAATAACAAAGGCATTACAACCAGTCCCGGGGAATTGCTTTAGAAAAGTGCCCCTTTAAAACAATGGAATTATGTGTCTGCTAATACTGTCACGGTCAAACACCGCTCTATATATATTGCTGAAAACAATGGAATTGTGTGTCTGCTATACTTTCAAACACCACTCTCTATATACTGATAAAAACAAAGAAATTATGTGTCTGTTTAACCCCTTCCGAATGATCAATGTACACAAGACTTATTTATTTGTGTATAATACGCACTCGTGTGTTATATGCACCCTTAATTATGGACAATTAAGTTCTGGAAAAATATATCTGTCTTGTATAATACCCACAGACTTTTCTTTTGTATCATTTCAGGCTGTCAGCATAAACCACGAAATTTACGATCTTTCAACTCTTTCACCAAAATTATATTCTAATAAGATCCCCCTATTTCTTATTTTGAGAGCGCCCTGGGTGCTTATTACGCTAAATACGGTAAAACAAAAATAATTGTGCCTGTTTTACTATCAAACAAGCCTCTCAACATGCCAATTTAAACAATGGAATTGTCTGTTTTACTATCAAACAAGCCACTCTATAAACCAATTAAAAAAAAAGAATTGTGTGTCTGTTTTACTATCAAACAACCCTCTCTATTAATATACCAATTAAAACAAAAAGAATTGTGTCCTGTTTTACTATCAAACAATCCTCCCAACATACCGATTAAAACAATGGAATTGTGTGTCTGTTTTAATATCAAACAAGCCTCTCTATATATTGATTAAAACAATGAATTTGTGTGACTGTTTTACTGTCAAACACCGAACTCTACGTACTGATTAAAACAATGGAATTATGTGCTTTGTCTACTGTCAAACACCCCTCTCAGTATTCTGATTAGAACAATAAAATTGTGTGCCTTGTTTACGATCCTCTCTATATACTGCTTAAAACAATGAAATATATGGAGTGAGTGAGTGAGTGAGTATGGTTTTACGCCGCTTTTAGCAATATTCCAGCAATATCACTGCGAGGGACACCAGAAATGGGCTTCACACATTGTACCCATGTCGGGAATCGAACCCGGGTCTTCGGCGTGACGAGCGAACGCTTTAACCACTAGGCTACCCGACTGCCCCGAGAGACGGGCGTTAAAAGTAAAAAGTCATACACTATTATTTTCCGAATCTCCAGATTCCTTTGGTACAACAAAACATACATAACATTAAAGCTTATGGGTTATTGGAATTAAGGCCACATGCTACAACTGCTGGCTCATTCAAAATCACAAAATCACAAGATCTTCTACCTGGTGTCAATTTCCAGTCAAAGTCTAGATGCTGTAATGCTAGCCCTGTGTGCAACTGGGTCACAACTAACTATTAATGAAACAGCTGCGTGATCGACCTACCAAGGGCGGATCCAGCAATATTAAAAGGGAGGGGTCCAAAATATCAAAATCCTCTCTGTTAGTACTGCCTACAACATACTACATTTGGTTTTTCGGGGAGACCCCCCTGAATCCCCCCTCTGGATCTGCCTTTGCATTCATCATTAAACTGGAGCAGTCAGATAAACAAACTTGCTCTGACAAGTGGCCCTATGGCATGGAAAGGAGTTGTATCTTTCCTTTCAAGGGAATGAAAATAAACTTACTAGCATAGATCTAGACTTCTTATTGTAAGGTGAGACAGTATTTGATTGATGAAAATAAACTGAATCTGTCATCTTTGATATTTACCCCCTTTTCTGCAGCAAAGAAGCTGTGATAGAAACTAAAAGTTTTAGTCCACTGGTCCTTATAATGATAACGTGTAGTAAAACCCCAATCTCATTCAAATCAGATCTAAGTTCCCGCTGACGCTAAACAAAGATCTGAGGACATCCCATTACTGGTCACGTCAGAACAAACTTTCGCGAACTTTGACCGACCACTGAAATGAATAACATGAAGTCTACATCAGCCAATTAGAAAGCAGCTTTCTCGAGCTTTACGGCACTCGTTTCAACCTGGCGACGTCCATTTCAGACTACACTTGAACAGTATGTTGACATAGTTCTCGATTAAAATTTTGAAAACTGAACAAACGAACATTCTGGAATGTCTAATATATGGTTGAGATTGTATGGCAGTGCTTCCAACGTACTGTGCAACGCCACCTCCGTTCAAATGTGTATCCCACGGAAGTGAGAGATAGACGATCATTTTGCTGTGGCATGGGGTGCTGGGCCATGGGGTGCTGTGTCATGGGTTGATTGGGCATGGGTTGCTGGGGAATGGGTTGCTGTGGCTTGGGGTGCTGAGGTGTTGGGTTCTGGGGTGCTAGGGCATGGGGTGCTGTGGCATGGGGAGATTGGGCTTGGGGTGCTGGGGCATGGGGTGCCCGGGCATGGGAAGATGGGGCATGGGTTGCTGTGTCATGGGTTGATTGGGCTTGGGGTACTGTGGCTTGGGGTGCTGGGGCATGGGGAGATGGGGCATGGGTTGCTGTGGCTTTGGGTGCTGGGCATGGAGTGTTGTGGCTTGGGGTGCTGGGGCATGGGTTGCTGTGGCTTGGGGTACTGGGGCATAGGTTGCTGTGGCTTGGGGTGCTGGGGCATGGAGTGTTGTGGCTTGGGGCTAAGGGAGACGGGGCATGGGTTGCTGTGGCTTGGGGTGCTGGGGTGCTAGGGCATGGGGTGCTGGGGCATGGGGTGATGGGGCATGGGGTGTGGGGTGATGGGGTGCTGGGGCATGGGGTGCTGGGGCATTGGGTGTGGGGTGATGGGATCCTGGGGCATGGGGAGATGGGGCATGGGGAGATGGGGCGTGGGGTGTGGGGTGATGGGGTGCTGGGGCATGGGGAGATAGGGCATGGGGAGATGGGGCATGGGGTGTGGGGTGATGGGGTGCTAGGGCATGGGGAGATAGGGCATGGGGTGTGGGGTGATGGGGTCCTGGGGCATGGGGTGCTGGGGCGCTGGGGCATGGGGAGATTGGGCATTGGGAGATGGAGTCCTGGAGCATGGGGAGATGGGGCATTGGGAGATGGGTCCTGGGGCATGGGGAGATGGAGTCCTGAGGCATGGGGAGATGGAGTCCTGGGGCATGGGGAGATGGGGCATTGGGAGATGGGGCATTGGGAGATGGGGCATGGGGTGCTGGGGCATGAAGTGATGGGGCATGGGGTGATGGGGCATGGGGAGATGGGGCATGGGGTGCTGGGTTATGGGGAGATGGGGCATAGGGTGCTGGCCATGGGGTGTGGGGTGATGGGGAGATGGGGCATGGGGTGAAGGGGCATGGGGAGATGGGGCATGGGGTGATGGGGCATGGGGAGGTGGGGCATTGAGAGATGGGGCATGGGGCATGGGGTGATGGGGCATGGGGAGATAGGGCATGGGGAGATGGGGCATGGGGAGATGGGGTGTGGGGTGATGGGGAGATAGGGCATGGGGAGATGGGGCATGGGGTGTGGGGTGATGGGGTGCTGGGGCATGGGGAGATAGGGCATGGGGAGATGGGGTGTGGGGTGATGGGGAGATAGGGCATGGGGAGATAGGGCATGGGGTGCTTGGGTGATGGGGCATGGGGAGATGGGGCATTGGGAGTGGGGTGCTGGGGCATGGGGAGATGGGGCATGGGGTGATGAGGCATGGGGCATGGGGCATGGGGTGATGGGCCATGGGGAGATGGGGCATGGGGTGCTGGGGCATGGGGAGATGGGGCATAGGGTGTGGGGTGATGGGGAGATGGGGTGATGGGGAGATGGGGCATGGGGTGATGGGGCATGGGGTGATGGGGCATGGGGAGATAGGGCATGGAGAGATTGGGCATGGGGCATGGGGTGATGGGGCATGGGGTGATGGGGCATGGAGAGATGGGACACGGGGAGATGGGGCATGGGGAGATGGGGCATGGGGTCCTGGGGCATGGGGAGATGGGGCATGGGGAGATGGAGTCCTGGGGCATGGGGTGATGGGGTCCTGGGGCATGGGGAGATGGAGTCCTGGAGCATGGGGAGATGGGGCATTGGGAGATGGGTCCTGGGGTCCTGGGGCATGGGGAGATGGGGCATTGGGAGATGGGGCATGGGGAGATGGGGCATGGGGAGATGGGGCATGGGAAGAAGGGGCATGGGGAGATGGGGCATGGTGTGATGGGGCATGGGGAGTGGGGCATGGGGAGATGGGGCATGGGGAGATGGGGCATGGGGAGATGGGGCATGTAAACTTTAATTAACTTTCCCTTCATAGAATCAGCAGTCTAGGAATTTTATATTCTTCTGCATGGTTTTGTTATATTTTACAGTCATAAATTGTTATGACTGCCATGCATATTTATTAGGATAAAAAATGTAGTTGCCAATATAGTTGCAGGTTTACTTTATGAAGGAAAAAAAACCCCAAGAAAATAAGGTAACAAAAAAATGATTACTAAGGTGTCTTAAACAAGTATTAAATAGAGTAGTAACTATGGTACGCGGGATGGCTGGATATGGAGTAGGAACCGGGTACCCACAGGACTACCTGGACCTGTGTTTAGTCACGAGATACGTATATTGTTTAATGACAAAAATTCACAATAATTCCATGGTTACTCTACAAGTCACAAATGTTTGCATTTCTTCTTACTTTTATATGTTTGAATAATGATAAAGCTTCAGTCAATTTCAGAGCATGCATGATCCGAATATTTTACACATGTATCTTAATAGTTTTGCCATTGCTCCAGTAAAACAGTTCCCAGTCGCACATTTTGTTGCCAAATCTTGAGAACTACAGCAGGTACCCTGGTAGGCTCGGATAACAGGGGGTCGGGTACATGAGTAGTTAATTTAGACTCATCCCAGCCCTACAATAGAGATAAATCAGTGATGTATGCTTCATATGCTAATTTAAAACATATACCTGAGCCACGTTTAAATTTAGATCTGATCGAGTTAACCACAAAATATGGAACTGATTATATTTACTGTATCTCTGATCAGCTGTCACTTCATTTCTAATCAGATTACATACTTAGTGAATTCTGTATGTAATATAGAAATATACATAAAATACAACTTACTTATCTTTGTACACATAAGCATAATAGAGTGCAAATATTTTAATTATATATACATATATCATACATATATGTCACCTCGATTTGTACACTTATTAACAATATTAACAATACAGAACATTAAATGGTGAATAATTTTGAAAGCTACCTCCTCGTTCACAGTTGCATCGGATTCCTGAGTAGATTTCTGTGCATATATATCGCCATCGAAGTGAACTTGCTTGGGTGAACTATCAACAGTGTCCTTTTCGCTGCTGGTGTCATTTTTTCCGTTTTCTATACCAGAATCTCCCTCTGTGGTACTTTCTCCTGCGTTGACGTCAATAATAACACCGTGATCGGCCATGGTGTACTCCCCGAACGCGACTGTTTGACTGTAGTTAATCTAGATAAGATGACTGACCCGTGTCTTTCACTGACAGTCCATTTCCATAACCATGACACCGGTGACAGATAGTGATCTTCAAAGCCAGGTTCATTTAGCCCTGGGCACAAAAGGGCATTTTTGCAAATATAAGTCTGCGATGAAGCAGCTTTGAACAGATTATTCGATTAAACGCATCAAAATATATTCTGGCTTAGTGCGTGTGTGCACTCTCAAGTATCATCAGCTGTCATTTGACACTTTGCACTGCCAGCAAGGGGGCGTGGCGCATGTCGCAACTCCCGCGTCGTTACGTCAGTAGGCTATACTCTCAAACCGGAATGCATCTTTTTGACTGGGATCCTGTCTAGCTAAACTGGTGAAAGGTAAAATCGCAAAGCTTGTGTCGCGTACAGCAGTGGAACCAAGTTATGCAGCTTTTTCCCAATGGAAGCATAGATATTGTTTCATACTAATCTTTTCTTGTAAAATGAGTCATATGACGTAATGAAAAATTAAAACCAATTGCACAGGGAAATATTTAATGTCAAAGTTAATAACTATACACTGGATAGAGAGTAAAAGTGACACAGTTCGGCGGAAATATGGCGGAGAGTTCGGGAGATTCGGAGCGGGAAGGAAAGACGATTCGAGTTGGCATCTTAACAGGTGCTCCTTCGTGTGTTGTGTTGAATAGTGGTTCATTAAGATCTGTCACTTATGTTGCTATTAATTTTTAATTAACACAGTCAGGATCTTGCGCAGTAGCTTAGATCAAGTCGTGACATAATTGCCGATCATTTTTTTGTTGTTATGAATGTGGAACATGTATGCTCAGCTGGTACTTGATAGATTTGGGCTGATGCCAACATTAGTAAATACCACACGTTCACAGTGTCAGACGTTTAAATAGTTGTGTCACATGTGTCACAGGTATCATCATTTAAGGTCAAAAGTTACAATCGCTTAACCATGTTAACATGAATGAATATATCTCCAATCGACAGTATTCCGGTATTTAGCTTTAGCATATTTATTCCAGGCTTCTCGCAGATTTGAAACGAAAATTGTTTTAGCCATTGTGTATGGAATTGGATGAAAAATATTAGCCAAGTCATATGATTTCTTTGCAGAGGTGACTTACATTTCACTGATAGCAGGACCAATTGAAAAGCAGATGCTTTAATGTCTCGTTTTACATTTGTGTATTGAATGAAATATTAACATGTATAGCTATGGCCGCCCATATATAGCTCTTTTGATGTTAAGAAAGTCAGTACATCAAACAATTATGTGTTTATCCCAATTTGTCTGCCAAAGGTACTTACTTTGGAATCCGAGAAAATCTGTATAATATTTTTAGAGTTGTGTCATTCAACATGTTCAAACTGAACAAGATATTGAAAAAAGGAGTGCTTTCATAAACTAGCGCTGCCTATAAAATGCTTTGCCGTAGGCTCTAGTTAGTAAACAAATATTGAAAACTCTCAAAATCGCTGGGCTTATTCAATGACATTGCGTGTAGATATGATAGATCACTTGGAGGATTTTATGCACACTCAGTGCCCCCTGACATTGTTTCGCCAATGTGAGGGGCAACAAAATACTACAAATTATGTCATAGGGTATTGTGATGTGTTTGAAAAGTTTGTGGTACTATACTAAAGATAGACAGGCCACTGCTTGTCACAATCATGACAATAGTTTTTCGCCTACTTGCGCAAATTGAGTATTGATCTTAGACACTTATTACTAAACAGTGCCCGGTTGAACTGGGAACACAACATAAGCCAGTGATCATGATGATGAAATTTGAAATGGTTTATTAGGTGTATTTGTTTATTTGGTAAAGTTTCATTAATGTAAGGTTTGGTATCTCACTTTATTCACACACACATCGGACCAACATGGTACTTGCAGCCAATCTACATGCTATAACAGGGCAACACAAAAAACATGATTTTTACGAACTAAATGTTAATGTGTGAGTGCTCACTAAATGAAAACACAACACGTGTCAATCAGTATGTGCGTGCAGGCACAGCCCTATCACAATATGCATATATATACAATAAAGCTCAGTAAAGCCAGAATATACAGAACTAAGTATGATGTCCGATGGTGCACATGGTAAACGGTCTGTGCATACAGGCACAACACAACCTGGTGACATAACTACATACCGTCTGCATAATGCAATGTCCAGAAATGTCTGTACTGTCAAATTATTGAACACTGAAATCTTCTCTGATCACATAACCACTGACAGAGTTCAAATGAAGCACAGGATTGAGGCACATTATAAACTATTTGTATTTATTAGTCTATATAATTTAAAATCACAAAAATGTAGCACACATGTGTAACAGTATGTTACGATGTCTCCATGAATGACATAATAGTGGACATGTGGTGGACAAGGGACAATGAGGTCAATACATAGCTGTCTGTCTTGCTGGGCCATAATCCTCACTGGGGGCTCCATTGAGAACGAGACTGCTTCATAACATGAAGAACAGACACAAAGTATTAATAAATGCTGACATCAAATATTTCATTACATTTGACCATATACAAAATATTGTAGCTGCTAAAAGATAACGCTTTATAATAGAATTAATGCTCTATCACAAACATACTTTGACCTGCATATATTCTTATATTTATGCGTTTCATATAGATCATATGCAGAGTAACATAAACATGACATGATACATTTACTGTCATGTTTTCATACAATAGACAATATGTAAGAAATATATAGAAAGTATAGTTAGCCTGGGTTCATCTATCCAGACACTGACCGCTGCACTAGAAATACAGCTACATCTGCACCACAAATAAATGAATATACATATATATGTATACATACTGTGCAGACCAATCCAATCGCAGCAATGTTACTACAATCAGATGCATTATGTCACTGCTGATTAGCTTAAAATATCCTAAAATATAATACTTACTTTCATACTTCACACTATCATTTATCAGCTTTATATTACTTGAAGATTTAGTTTGATAATTATGTATGAGGCCTGCACTTAACACTTACTGAATTATTTACCTTACGTAAATAATAACACTTGTAATGCATTGTACTATGCGTTAACATACAGTAAGACAACTAGTTACCATGATCTATCCGATATTTACAACATGCTAAAACAGCCAAATTATGGACAGCATAAACACAGTATCCCTACAAATTCTAGGAATACATACAAACTATAAAATATCACCATGAGACTATCCTTTAGAAACGATTCCAAAAGTCCATGACTAACACACAAAGACTTATCCAAATGTGAATAGCACAATGTCCATCAATGTCAAATACTTTGTATGACCATCTGACAGTAACCTCAAATGTGACATAAAAACTGTAGTGAAACCAAACCCTTTAAACTGGAGACAGTAAGCTACAAAGTTTAAGACAAAGGGGCAGTAAGGGGCGCCCTTCGTCAGGCTATTGTGTGATAGTGCACTCAGTGATTGTGGCTGTGGCAATACTCATGCAGTAAGCTGAGACAGAATTAGGAAAGCTGAAGTGTGAAGTATATAATGTTTAAAACATACTTGACTGAATATTTAATTCAGTAAATGCTAAACAAATAAAACTCCCAAAATATAAGCAAAATATATGATCCTGTCTCATGACCAACATTCACATTACAATGCATGAATATACCTCACCTATGTCTTATTTCATTTGAAAAAGATGCCTCAGCACAAATGCAGGACCTGTGAAAGCACATAGTTGTGTGTACCAATAGTGAATTTGAAATTTTGAAGTTCATAATTTCTTAGATTCACAGGTATTTAAACACTGTAGTTCATATTGCATTGAATGCAGTTATCTAAACTACTTCCTCTTTATTGGTCTTGTTATCAGTAAAATACAAGTCAATTCTACAGGTCCATAACAACTAGAACCAGCCGATAACCATGGTAACAACCATGATTGAGAACTTTCTGTGACATTTGCTGCAGATTTTAGGATGAATAATGGCCCCAGACAAGCATAGATAAGTCCCTGCACCTTGCATGACTTAAAAAAAGGGTCCCCATTAACATGATTAAGTGAAGGAAAGGACTTGCATCCTATCACCCTATCAGTAGGTTCTTAGCATGTTTAGGGGCCTCCCATTTGATATTCAGAGGAAGAAGCGATTTAAAGAACGACATGTTAAATGTCTAGAAAATAATTGTGTTGTTTTCCCTTAGCATAACTTAGACTTGACTCTTGACTTTAAAAAGTATGTTTCAGACCCACCCACCCCCACCCCACACACCCCACTTTTCTTTTCTCTCCACCCCCCACCCCCCCATTTATTGAATGTGTCATATTATCTTGCTTACGTTTCCTTTCTGCAGCTATTCAACCATTGATAATAGCATACAAACAATATTACAGTTTGACAGGAAGATCGTTAATTCTTCTGGCATTACAGAGTAATATCCTTCCTTCCTTTTAGAAATGACATCATCTTGAACAATGTTGACATGGTTGAAGCATTCATGTTTAAATATGAACACACACACCCATCATAAATATGATACATATGGCTCCAGATTATGACATATTTTCCAAATCAAAATAGATAATAAAATATGTAATTTTATGTTTACCATTTTGTCCACTAAAATGATAAATAATGTCTGACAGTTGTCAAAAATAAGGTCACTGTTTATCACTTATGAATCTGGATATGTTTATGTCAACATCAATCCATGGGAATATGTGGCTTGCTCAGTCCCATACTCATAATAAACCATGGAACTACCGTTCATGTCACCCCCGAAATTGTTAAAGGATGCATGGCAGAGAACGCCCTGTTAGAAATGTGTTTATCTTTGTTGACATGTGTTTGAATTTCCAAGTCAGTTTACATGGTTTAGTCTGTCAAAAATAATTTACACAATATTGTTGACATGTTACCATTTGAAATAAACAAAACACTTTGACATGTTTAACATGTTTAAACTTTATTTATAAAGAAAAATGCGATGTTATTGGTAAAAGAGGACTTAGTTGCCTGTTGCACATCGATGTTTTTGTTTGTTTTAATTCCTGCTCCAAGATATCATTTGTTTTCGGGGATAGAGTGACATGAATATTGACAAAGCACACCAAGTATGATGCAAGCCTTACCAGTAATTCCTAGGGGTATCACGATTCACCAATACATCTATGCATTGATAATATTCTCAAACGGTACAATACGCGGTACACACTCACCTATACTGATTCATATATTAATCCTGTATTGTTTCACACTTGGACCTATTCGTTCATATTTAATTTATTTAATTATGGGTGCACACTGAGTATTTTTGTGTAAAGGAAATTTGTTATTGTATTTAATAACTCCAGTTTTATCTGAAATAAATTATTGATCATGTTGATTGAAGAAAGACATTTTTATTATCCCCCTGGCATATAATGCGGGGGATATAGTCAACGCTTTGTCTGTCCGTCCGTCCGTAATCATTTCGTTTCTGGAGCATACTGGAAAACTATTCAATGTTTTTCAACAAAAATTGGCAGATATATCAAACAGGCCCTGAAGTGGTGCCTTTTGCTATTTACATGTTTTGGGCATTTTTATTTTTTTCCATTTCCATGGAAACAATTTGTACTTTGTCTCATAAGGGGGTGGATTTTGTTTCCAGAGCACAACTCAAAAACCATTGAATATCTATCAACAAAACTTGGCTGATATATCAAACATATTCAGAAGTGGTGCCTTTTGCTATTTGCAGATTTTTGTCATTTTCATTTTTCTCGATTTCCATTCCATGGAAACCAAAGGTTGGGGGTAGGTGTCGTTTCCGGAGCACAACTTGAAAACTGTGAAAGACTTTTCATCCAAACCTTGTACATGTATTAACCAATTAGCTGAAGTCGTACCTATTGCTATTTAGGAATTTTTCAAAATTTGATGTTTCTTAGCTGAAATGGTGGTAGGTGTCGTTTCCAGAGAAGAACTAAAAAAACTATTGAACATTTTTCATCCAAACTCGGTACATGTATAAATCAAGGGCTGAAGTAGTGCCTCTTTCTAATTAGGAATTTAAAAAATATGAATGTTTCCTGTTTCCATGGCAACAAATTTGACTTTGACTCTATTCATCATGGTTTGGACCACATCTCTAAGACCAATAGGTACTCTTTCTTGAAACTGTACACACAAAGACCGGGTTGACAACTGGGGCCTTTCCTCCTTAGGGGTGTTTAGAATTTATATTTTACCCATTTCCATGGCAACAAGTTTGACTCTGACTCTGTTCACAATGATGTGTACCTAACATAGAAATGCAAAGTTCCAAGTCCCAATTCCATTTGTGGGGCCAGATAGACGTATTGTGTCATTTCTTTCCTTAGACATTCAAAATGTAAATACTTATTCATTAACATCTGATTGACAAGAAGTATTTTTTAAAATGCTACAGTTGTCTGTTTGTCAAAACTATAAGACTAATCATAACACAAGGGAGGTAACTCCCAGTTCCTTACTTTATGGGAAAATTTATACAGACAAGACGCTAAGGGAAGGTAACCGATGCCTGACTCAGTGCTCAATCGGAACATCCATTTTGTTATGCTAAAAGTCTGTCAGAAAGGTGCGTTTCTTCACACAATATTTGGCGTATAGTTTCAATACGTTTCGTTGTGGTTAGAACAAAGAGGAAATATATTTTGTTCCCGTAATTGGATAACAATTTACAATTGGGACTTTGTACATGGAAGGGGGTGTTTGACAGTAAAACTGCAATAGTTTCCTTGTTTTGCCATGTTTAATCAGAACCTAAGCTTCCTGTGGCATGGCAAGACAATGCCAGAGGCTTCAACACAGGCTAATTCTGTATGGTAAATGTGTTTGAACTCAAGGCTTATCATGTTTATGGACGGTGTTTCTGTGGTAGGACTCATCTTTTCTTACAGTGATTATTTAGCTTTTTAGTTTTTGTATACTTTTCACTAAAATTGAGGAAGTTTCATTGTTGTTTCAGTGAGTGACAGGTGCTTCTCGGGCCAGACAGAGGATAAGAGTGGACACAACTTGAAATGTCTGATAGAGGAGAAGAAATTGTAAGCAAAACAATGAAAACAGGAATACCAGGGTTATCATATACCCCGGGAAATTCAGGGGAAGAATAGAGGTCACTAGCAATCTATGCATATCGTAAGAGGCTACTATATGGATCGGATGGCCAGGCATAGGAACTGGTTGATTATCATCATTAGACATACCTCAGTTGTATGGATCGATGCAGACATGATTATTTACAGACTGACGTCTTATCTTGGTTATAGGGGCGGTCGGGTAGCCTAGTGGTTAAAGCGTTAGCTCGTCACGCCGAAGACCCGGGTTCGATTCCCGACATGGGTACAATGTGTGAAGCCCATTTCTGGTGTCCCCCGCCGTGATATTGCTGGAATATTGCTAAAAGCGGCGTAAAACATCACTCACTCACTATCTTGGTTATAGCTATATACTCAGGAATATCCCCAAATGCAGTGTGAAACAAACGGAACAAAACAAATCAACTTGACATCAGTCTGCTCCTCCGAGACGGGTAAAATTCAGAACATGTCAGAAAAAACTAGTGACATAATCTTGTGTACCTTTAGCAATGTTTAGGTAAAAGAAAATGTGGGGTTAACATGGTAAGAAAAATGCCAGTTGCCAAGAACCATTTGCTGGGGCAATAGCTATGTAAGGTGTGTGATTATCATCATTGGGTATGTAGAACTAAATTAGAATGCCACGTTAAAGGTTGTGTTTTGACGTCAGCAACTAGTTTTTCCCTCGAGTCTATCTTTCTTTTCCGTCTTGTTTCAGAATTGATGGAAAAGTTTGTGTAAAAGAAATTGTACCAGATGAAGTTCAAAAGATAAAGGTATGAAGCATTTTCTGTATCTACTTTCACGTCATCATGCTGATATTATGCATAGTAACTAACATTTGGCGAAACAATCTTTGTTATTTGGCAAGGAGAAATATTAATCAAGTCATCATGATGGTGAATGCGCAACATCCTTAGTTTGGTGACTATTGCAGGCATGTTATCTCATATGACGAATCATGCGGATGGTAGTCAGTAAAAACCACTTTGACTACCATATTTGATGTAATAAGCGCCCAGGGGGCTCTCAAAATTAGAATATTAGAATATTATTTTGGTGAAAAGTTGAAAGTTAAATTTCATGGTTATGCTGACAGCCTGAAATGTTTATGTACGACAGATATATCTTTCCAGAATTCAATTGCCCATAATTAAGGGCGCATATAACACACGAGTGCTTATTATACGCAATTAAATTAGTCTTGTGTTCATTGAACAATCGGAAGGGGTACTAATTGGGATTGTTCACTTGCCAATATATCAGCAAATGTCACTGTGGGTGCTTATTAGAGCGGGGCGCTTATCATGTCGAATATGGTATTGTTCATGTAGTTGGACATTGGAGTTATTTAAGAATTGAACGTCAGTTTGGATGGGTTCATTGAAGTGTGAACGATTTAAAAGCGCTAGTTAAACTGTGTGAATCTCCGAACTTACGAAATTAATTATATTCCTGATAAATGCAGGGATTAAAAAGAAAATTGTGCAATCTGTTATGCATTCACTGTGCTTCCAGTAGTACAACTAACTCTGTTACTTGAACCAGGGTCTCCTCATTGACTGGGCGGATGCTGATGCTCTGCACCAATCTGCTCTTGTTGTGCATTCACTGTGCTTCCAGTAGTACAACTAACTCTGTTACTTGAACCAGGGTCTCCTCATTGACTGGGCGGACAACATGAAGCTGGACCTCATCCTGTCTACAGGGGGCACTGGCTTCACTGCACGCGATGTCACGCCAGAGGTAAGGTTCATCACTCTTCACAAGCATTTGCAAGTTGCCATCCTGTGGGGATTACAGGGCAAAATAGGTCCCCAGAACCTCATGCTTGTCTCCCTGTGTGAATGTTAGGCCAGAACAGGTCCCCAGAACCTCATGCTTGTCTCCCTGTGTGTAACCAGGCCTGAATAGGTCCCCAGTACCTCATGCTTGTCTCCCTATGTAAATGTTAAGCCAGAATATGTTTCCAGTACCTCAGGCTTGTCTCCCTGTGTGAATGTCTACAATGTAAACATACCAGTGTATTAGTGTAATATTTTGTGAACAATTCCCAATTACAAACGTCTGTTTAACTAATTTGCCTGCTGCTGAAGCTGAGCTTTAGGGTCCTGAGCAGCCACACTACGTCTCTTGATTCTGTGTTGTTCTAGGAATGAATGGTCCACACCTCTTGTGTGCCGCCATTCGCAGTGCAGAGTTACGTCCGTAAGGCATGCCAGAATACACCTTGTTTCTAGGTTAGTCAGCACCAACCTGTGCCTGTGATTTTACAAAGCTGGTAAATGTCTACATGACTTCAGCTTTCCTGCCACATCTAGCTGACACATCCTGACAGCCGCACAAGACCCTACTTACCCACTCACTTTGGTATATTGTACATTGATGTTTCTCTTCAGGCTACGAAGGCCGTGTTGGATCGCGATGCTCTGGGAATCACTGTGGCCATGTTAACTGGCTCTCTCAACATAACGCCGCTGGCCATGCTGTCCAGGTGAGGGGACTTTATCTGTATCAACAAGAGTCATTAATAGTAACTCACCTGCCTGTGGGGGTGAAGTGATACATCGGTGCATCATGAGTTTTCATGCCGTGAAGCCATGCACAATACATGTTTTTTTTCTATTTTGACACAAGACACCTTAATTTGCTATAATGAAAATCTTAGTACTACTGCCTCCCCCACCCACCCCCAACCCAGCGTTCTTGTCAGTCAAATATTGCAATATGTATAGTAATTAGCATTTCAAGTTTGATAATACAAATTGCCCCTACAAACATGTGTCTACGGTAGCTTTTCCCTTTGAACCTGTCTGAAATATTAAAAGTCTGACATAAATATAGATATTGTGATACGTATCGTATCGTGATCTATGTAATGTGATACGTATTGTATTGCATCTTCCCGAGGCAAGTGAGTAAACTGACTATAAAAGTCCAGTTTCCACCCTTGCCGAACTAGGCTGGTATTATGGAGTTACATTTTGGCTGGACTAACAAGTCTATGCATAGTCCAATCAAAATCGTGCATCGAAATCTGGTTCGTAAAGTGGCATGCAGATTTTGGTTGACTGCAGGATTTGCAAAGCATGTGCACGACCAACTCGTTGTCAACAGATATTTTCTAAATCTTTTCATGTTTTTAATCAAGGTGCTCACGTGATTTGATGCACTTCGCGATGTAAGACTCGTTTTATCACAATATAGATCTTGATTATCGATCAGATCGTCTTGACTGGGCGCCACCGTTTTGTTTGAAGCAAATGCAAGTGATACGAGAGGTGGAATCTGATTGGTCATTAGGAGAGGCATAGAAAGGACATAACTCGTAATAGCCACTAGTGGCGCTACGATTGAGCCCAGGAATTCCAGCCTAGTTCAGCAAGGGTGGAAACTGGACTTTTAAAGTCAGTTAACTCTCCTGCCTTCGGAAGATGATTGTATCGTGACCTTGCTATATCATTTCACACCTACCTGCCTGTAGACAGCTAAGGCATTCCGGGGTTAGAATAAGTCCCCAGCAATCTGTTCTTGTCGTAAGAGTCTTCTTACCCTGATGGTGTGGATTGTTGCATACAATATCAACCATTAGATTGACTGATCCAGGCCACGTCCATAAAGCTGGAATATTTCAGAGTTTCAACAAGAGCTACAAAAAACCAGTACAACTGAAAACACTGAGTCCTGTCACATTATGGTTTTTAGAAGATAATTTCTAGAAATATTGATAGTTTCAGAACAAAGCTTGTCATGATACTGAAGTACTGATCAACTCACACACCCACACTCTCACTCACTCATTTTTCATAGTTACCCATACTCATCACGATAAGCCTTGCTTACCCAAGATATTGGACAAGTTTCTAAACACGTGACACCGCCTCCGTGTTAGAGCGCCGCCTGGAGAGCAGGTCCCCGTCCAGACCAGTACAAGCAGCCACACCCAAACATGCATGCATGCAGCTATATAAGTGCAATAATCTTGGATGTGCTGTCAAACCCCATGTCACCTCACACTCATGATAAGTCACTGACTGTTTATGGGTACAATGTGTTAATGAAATCCTTGATCATGTTGAGGCCATGTACAAATACTATATGTCACCTCTAACCCTCTCTGGGGCGGTCGGGTAGCCTAGTGGTTAAAGCGTTCCCTCGTCACGCCGAAGACCCGGGTTCGATTCCCGACATGGGTACAATGTGTGAAGCCCATTTCTGGTGTCCCCCGCCGTGATATTGCTGGAATATTGCTAAAAGCGGCGTAAAACCAAACTCACTCACACTCTAACCCTCTCTTTGAAGTCAAAGCTGTTTTGAAACAGACATGATACCGTGGTGACTGTGGCCTCTTCATAATTCCATGAGATGTGTTTCAGGTTGACTTGTGGAATCCGGAAGAGTACTCTCATCATCAACCTTCCTGGCAGCACCAAAGGGTCAGAGGTAGGTGGATCATGTAACTCCATGTAACACTATTATGGCTGGCAGTTCGTTACATTGATCATGTTGATGATGAGATGGGATTCTTTGTTAGAATAGGCCCCCAGTAAACCATACTCGTGATAGGAGCTGACAGTACTGTATGTTGAAGGGTTTTAGTTTTCCTGCATTGTAGGCTATCCCCCCAACTTGACCCTTGAAATTGGTGCCTAATTGTTATGTTGTTGAAAGGCCAGTCCTCGATATAAACAGATGTACATTGTCGTAAAAGGCGACTAACGGGATCGGGTGGTCAGGCTTGCTGACTTGGCGGATGCTTGTCATCGATCCCAATTACGTGAATCGATGCTCATGATATCAATCACTGGATTGTCTGGTCTAGACTTGATTATTTACAGACCGCTGCCAAAAAGCTGGAATATTGCTGAGTGCGGCGTTAAACAACAAACCAACCAGCCAACCAACATGGGTGTGATGCTACTCTGGCAAGTTCTGCTTGTCTTATCACTGAGGACAATACTACTAAGGACACTGCCTAGTACAGGAACAGCAGACGTGGCTTATTAATTACAGATAATATTGCATATTTATGTTTAAAATATCCTAACTTGTGAACCAACACTTGGATGTGTGACATGTCAAATGACACATGATTCTACAAAGAACTAATTGCATGTACACCGATATTTCTTTCGGAACTCAAAACACCACATTGTCTTTCTGCAGTACAGTTCATAATGTATTGTGGAGCTTATGAATTTTATGAATATGTGGAGCTAGGACCACATGTTTCGACAAGAATACAGTATTCCAGACACTATCTGCAAGTTTTTCTGATGCCCTTTTTGTCACCTCATTCACCTAGGCAAGATGTGAAAAAAAGAAACAATGGCAATATCTTAATGGGAGCAATGGTAGTCAAAATGATTTTCTGCTGTCAGGCATGATCTGGTTTCACTAGATAGACACATTCAATCTCACGCATCCATTTCAGCTGTGATTTGTCCCCAGGAACAAATGTTGGTCTCAAGAAGAGACTTGATGGATCGGTGGGTCGAGCTCGATGACTTGGTTTGTGACGTGTCATTGTACCCCGACACCATGGATTGTCTGGTCCGGGATAAATTATTTACTGGCCTCTGTCTTATAGCTTGAATATTGCTGTGTCCCGCATTACACAACAAACACACATGCATTCACTTTCCTGACCCCCCAAAATTATAAACAAACATGATTCATCAATAGTTCATCATGCAGTTTTATTTGAAATATTTGTTTTCCGCACAGGAATGTTTCCGGTTTGCAGCGGTGGGTGTTTCCCATGCTATCGACCAGCTGCAGGGCTCTAGAGAGAGCGTGAGGTCAACACATTCTGACCTTCAAGAGGAGGGCATCCACTCCAACGAACCTGGACAGATTCAGGTATGTCACGCACGTCACGTCACGTCACGTCACGTCACGTCACGTCACGTCACGTCACGTCACGTCACGTCACGTCACGTCACGTCACGTCACGTCACGTCAACCAACCTCAGGGGGTCCCAGGGGGTCCCAGTGCCTCATGCTCGTTGTAAGAGATCCTTTGTCAATATGTCACTGTTTTGATTACACTACGTTCCTCCATCACCAATGACTACATGAGGCTGCTATGTCTTGAACCAACATATTAAACAAAAGACCAGTTCCAGTGAGAGGGAAGCAAGTAAGTAACCAGACCAATGAATGCTCAGTTTACTGTGCACAAATGGCAATACTTCTCTCTTGTCAATTGTGATGCATCGGTTACCATGACATCCCAATCAGGGACATCACTAATCTTTCTGACACAGAATCTGGTTAGGGGTGCTTTTTACACTCACGTCACTAGTTATGATTTAATTTACAGTTTACAAACTGAAAAGGTTGGAAGAATGATTTTTGGATGATAAATGAATCCGAGGCTTGGATTTTTAACCTTATCAACTCATATTGATATGTTTGATATCAAAAGACACTCTGGTGAGATTCTCTATATAGCAGCCATATGTATTTAAGGGTGATGTGTATTCATCGCATGGTGTATTGACAATGACTGAAATAGGTAGTGATGGTTAAATGTCTGCTTGTGTGACATCGTTCCTAGAGACGTCAATCGTTGTTCATATGCTGTGGTGTAGCTTTAATATTGCTTACTATGGCATCAAACAACATTTACTCACCCACTGCCAAAGTTTGACATATTTTGTGTATCACACGAATGCTATCAGCTAGTACTTCTTGTCAAAACATGGACCAGTTTCTCTTTATGTGTACTGCCTTCTGATTGGTGGGATTGAAATTATCCTGTGCAGTAAACCTCTCCGAATAGTGATAACAAACATCACAAAAAGTCTACAGACCTATAAGACCTGTGATGATCCAAGGTAGAATAGTTCTTCAGCAACCCATGCTTGCCGGAAAAGGCGTCTATGCTTGTTGTAAGAGGCGACTAACAGGATCGGGTGGTCAGGCTTGCTGACTTGGTTGATGCATGTCATCGTATCTCAATTGCGTGAATCGATACTCATGATATCAATCACTGGATTGTCTGGTCAAGACTCGATTATTTACCTACTGCCGTCATATAGTTGGAATATTGCTGAGTGAGGCGTTAAACAACAAACAAACAAACAGACCTATAAGGCAAATTAATGTCTACAAGTGTTTATCTAGGATTCCCACCTAAGTGCTCCTGGCAAGCAAATTGGGGACAAACTTATTGCTTTTGTTCAAAATTGCGATTTGTTTAAAGTTCCTTTTTCTTTGTCTCAGAGGTCTCCTGACATTGTACATTAACGTTATACATAATGCATAACTTAGCATTAAAGCCTCCTCTCCTTATTTGTCCTGATATTTGTAAAACCTGATAAGCCATTACATAGATCATGTTAGATCGAACATGAATTGGGAACGTTTTAATTCCTATTTTGGAATATTATTTGCCGTTTGCTTCTGGTTTGGCTGAATACCGGCCTCTACATGCTCTAAGCAGGTCTAGATAATCCCTGGTCTGTCACAGAAAAGTTGTTGTTATCCTATTTGTCTGAACAACGAAACTACAAGCCACTTGCCCTTTCTCCTTTTAAATCCCAGCATGTATACAAGACCAGATCACTTTAGGAAAACTTGTTTCCTAGAAAAAATCAATGAAAATATTGTTGTCTGCTTGGCTCCATAGAAACACTTATAAAGCAGAATGCAAGTGTGTCCATTTTAGCCAGCATGCTATGGTTACCATGGTTACAGGTTGGTTGTTGTTGATTTTGTCTACTAACACCTGGGAGGAAACTACTGTCCAGACCCATCTTCAGCTTCTGTATTTCATTTTATGATAAATATATCTCATGCGATTCAGTTTTTGTTGTCTTTGCGTTTGATGCATCCCCTCCTGGTGTCCCTGCATGGCATTATTTTTGTTGTTCTTTACTAATTAATGTCTTCATTAGTGACCTTGGTTGAATCACTGATCCCAAATTTCGCATGCAGTATAAATTCAGATGTTCAGGGGGGCCCATTAAATAATTTCAGTAATAACGAAAGCGTTCAAAGTCGGCCATTAGGGAAGGGAAGTAACCATATAACTTGTCATTCCCAAAAACATTTTTTCTTCCAAATCATGTTTATTAAAAATCTGTATAGATTGTTGACCCAGTATTGAAAAGGTGTCTGTGATTGTAGTTTCGTGTCCATTTCCGTTATAGGGCAAGATACTAAAATTAATGCAATTTGTGAATCTGAGACTCTATATGATTAAGATAATTATTCTCTGCTAGGTTGTTATACATAAAAAATAAATGACACTGAACTCATGCACCAAACAAGGTGAATGTCCTCATGATGAAGCCATGATGCCAATTTTTGCAATCATGGTACCCATTTAAGATTTATGTCTGGAAACTCCAAGCGCAGCATGTGCCAGTGTATTTCTGTTTTGTATATAAAACCCGTTTCCTGTGTTTAGCACACCTCGGATGAAAGTATGGACAATTCAGTTGAGAGTCTTAATCCGGCGCCAGATATTTCTGATCCTGTCATGGACACCGACTTTCCTGGAACGGTTTCATTTGATTCCCTCGACACACATCCTTTGTCCAACTCGACTCCAATCATACCGGAATCAACCGTAGCAGCACCCCTGCCTCCTGGCTCTAACTGTCAAACACGAACTATCACCGATGAAGCCCATCATGCCGAGCCTCTAAGTAAGGGAGAGAACTCCCAACCAGAAGAATTCACCCAGCTGTGCTTCCACACGGATCAGTCCAACTCCAACCTTACTGAGGAACCGCTGACAATCATCGCCATGGTGCCCAATCAGAGTCACGTCCCTCAGCAGTCCTTTGTCAAACAGACCAAAGACATCACTGAGCTGTTTCAGTTGCAAGGCAGTTTTGTTGATTCCAGTGATGCAGTTCTTGCTTGTAAAACACCAGTACTTCGACCGGAATCAGCATCAGAAATCCAGTGTTCTGACGTACCTGAGATATTAACAATACCTGAGTTGAGGTCTCAGCCAGCAAACAGGCTTATCAGACATGGTGTTGGTATTTGTGATAAACATGGGGATGTGTATGAATTTGATGAAGAGGCTGAACGCGTTCGACCGACTTTAGGCAGTGTTCAGTCAAACACATCAAATTCAGAGGAGCCAATCCTACGCGCCAAGCTTCACAAGAGTGCAGATGATGGGGAGGTTACTCATGTAGATGTGGGTTTGACGGTAAAAACCTTTTTACGTACTCATCCAGCTATCCGAGGCATATATCTGAACAAAGGCAAGCGTGATGTGAAACGCAACCTTGTGAAGATGAGGAGAGAGACATTGGCAGTGGATGTGGGAAGCTGGCAGCGAGGAACTCACATACATGACAGAAACCGTCTTGATGACCACTTCGAGCTGACAGAGGCGGGGATGGAGAAGAAGAAGAGGGTGGAGAAGCGTCTGTCTCGGGACGAGTACGTGGTCAACTGGTACATGTGGTGCCCGGGACACGGCAACTGTCGCCGCAGCTGTGGGGGATATGGCAAGTGTGTTAATGGTGAGCTGTTGCTTGTTGTCAGGAAGTTACTTTGTAAATTGCCCCATGGGGATTCCAGATTAGAATAGGTCCCCAGCAACTTGTGCTGGTAGTAACGTGCAACCAAATGGGCTAGGTGGTCAGACTTAGTGACTTGGTTGATAGCATGTCCTTGTACTCCAATAACATGGATTGTTGCTCACATTATCAGTCATTGAATCGTCTGGTCCAGAACTGATTATTTACTGTTTGCCATCAAATAGCTGGAATATTGCTGAGTGTGGTGTTATAACAACAAACAATGGTAGATGATTTCACAAATGTATGAGCAATTATGTATAGTATGGAAAGATTTGGATTTTTGATTTGTTTTCTTGACTCTAAAGTAAAATAGTTATGCATGCATGTGCAACTTAAATCATTATGGTTCATGCTCTGAATTAAACCCCCAGTTCTGCATTACCTTTATCATTTTGTTTATCCACGGTGTTTGAAATTATGGATCGAAGTCCAGGGATCTTTTTCATTGTCCCTTTTTTAAAATTTATCAATAAGGGGACCTTACACTCAATACAATATGTATACAGCACTAGTACCTCTATAATTGTCAAAAATGATGACTATTATGAACCAACTGTTTCCTGGATTTATTTTTAACACGTTTAACATTAAAAGTTTCAGATTGCCTGTCTGTGCGCCATTATATTTGACATTTGTGTCCGTTGAAGTGTTTTGGGTAATTTTGTTGCAGGCTGTAAAGGGAAGACCCACAAGCAAGACCGCCATAACTGCAGGCTGCTTGTAAACCTGAAGATGTTCCTCAGTGATACAGCCAAGTGGCGGGTTCACATCAGTGGGAGTCACGTCCCTCTCGAGTCCAACATCTTGTGGGAACCACCTAAACAGAACCAGCAGCGAATCAACGAAGACACGCGTGATGTCATCCTCGCAACCGTGGCCACCAAGAAGACGAGCTCCTCTCAAATACAGGAAGTGCTGTCAAAGAAGCCTGTTGCTGTCGACTTGCCGGTAGTCCCGTCAAAAAGAAAGATCTGCCGCTTTGTGTCCAGTATGAAGAAGAGACGGAAACAGAGGAACTATAACTGCCGTGATAACAGTTTAGACGGCTTTGAATCGGTTAAAGATGATGGTGAGGATGGATCTGGTGGGGAGGGGGCTGAGTGCGTTGACATTGAGGGAGAAGAGTTTGAAGGGGATCAGGATGGGGAGGAAGTGATCAATGTTGATGAAGATGATGATGATGATGATGAAGAAGACAAGGATAATGTAGAGTCTATTTCCATGCCATGTGGCTCAGCATTCAAAGGCTTCCAAGCAGTGTCAGATGCTGTGGGCTTGGATGAGTCCAACATGGTTCCCTCTGTG